TTCCTTGCAATTAATAGAGACTTTCAATCGAAATTTTACCGAAATAAAAAAACTTGCAACGTCGCACATTGAGGGATGCATGTTTTTTACCCTGCCGTCGTTGGTGACAAGAAAATGTGTTACTGCGTACGCGCTGGAGTGTGATTTCAGCGGTTATCGTGATCTACCATCGAATCGAAGCGACACTGAAGAAGGCGCTCCGAGCAACTATTCCACCACAGAAGTATTGCACAGTATCAAACGAAAATGCAGGCGCACTAAAGTATGCTAATTGACTGGTGTCGTTTACCACTGTAAAGCCTTCAGCTTCTTCTCGCTCGATTATTGTGAAACTTGGTCCCATGTGGGTTTATTTACGGAAAACTTAAATTTCAACTCAAATTTTCAAAATTCGAAAATCCAAGATGGTGGATGTGGCCTATGATGCTATCTTAGCGCCTTCAAAATTATCCAACTTAGCAATCTAGACATCGAATATTTTCCGTTCATTTTCAAAACCGATGTACTTACTCTCCGCTTTTTTAGATCTCGATATCGGCACGTTCTTCAATTTTTTCGTGTTGAAACCTCTTGTTTTTTGTTTTTTTTTATTCATACATTTATTTTATTTATTCCTTCCTTTTTCATATTCTCCTTTGCTCATTTGGAGGAATATAATCAAATTTTACAATAATTACGGCCCAGATGCAAAAGCGAGCCGATGATAACGCTAATTGGACGGCATTTTGCAATTTGGAACTATAAATTCTGGCCCGGTTTAAAAACAACGTATGTGCTTTAGTTTCCCTATACACATAAGTGTTTTTTCAGATGAGCCAGTATTTATAGCTTCAAATTGCAAAATGCAGTCCAATTGTTACTCAGTCTTTTTTGGGGCTTTTTCAAGTCTTCGGCCTCGTTTACTTCAAGGGCTTTAACATTCGGATCCGCTTTTGATCATTCGAAGAATCCCACTCCTATTTCTTTTTCCCTTTTTAACAAAATCATGCAAAGGCTTGAATTAAACATTAGAATAATATTTTCCATCATACCTCTGTACAATCGCGGCAAATTTGAAAGTGTTCATTCCCCACATAAAATAGGCATTGAAAAACTTGCAACGTCACAAATCATGATCTTCTGCCATCAAGTCGAAGCGATAAGTGCTAGTTTCAATGCCAATTGCGACCGCGAGTGACTCTAGACCGCGAGTAGCAGGAAGAAATCAAGCCACATCAGCTATTGGAAAATTTAACTGAGCAATTTAATTTTCAACATGAAAACGGTTCGGCGGATTTTTTAGCAAATTTCAGTGAATTTTTTGCATAGTGAGAAGCAAATTCCTTAAAATGTTCAAAGGAATCCGCACAAACGTTCTCTCGTAAAAAATTAAATTGCCCAGTTAAGTTTGGCAGTAGCTGATGTGGCTTGGTTTTTTTCTATTTGACGCGGTCCATTTTATGTTAAATAGGCATTCAAAGTTTATCTAATTTCATATAGAATTTGCAGATACTGTACATTGAATCCCAAGTGGATTACTCTGCAAAATTAAAAGAAAAATACTCACAAAATTCCCTGAAAATTCGTAGTTCATCCAGGGGAATTTGGCAACATCGGAAACCTCATACGTCGTTTATTCTTAGCCAAGCGGCGTTCCTCTGTCTATTTTCCCAACCCCGACAGCTTTACGGTTTCCCAATTTCACCGCCGGACTTCGGCGTTCGACCAATTTAGTTATTTATTTCCTTTTTTTCTCTCGTTTTATTTCGGGAAAGCGTCCGTCGCGTTGTCGGGGGGAAAAAGAAAGACGGAACTGGAATTTGTCCGCTGCATGCCGGAACAGAGTCGATAATGGTGTTTAATGTGGCTGAGGATTAGAAACGGGATTTTTCGTTAAAGATCCCGTAGTTTAAATGTTTAGTCCCGTAAGTTCTGGTGGGTATTTTGGCCCCTACAAAATTGGGATTCTGAAAATGTGTAACGTACAAATTGGTGTTTTCACAAAATAATCCTGAAAAAATGTCCCTCCCCTCTCGGTTATAAAATTTTTCCAAAAGGAAAATTTACAATTTAATAAACGCTCCCCTCTTGAAATTTTAAGAAAATTGACACGACTGCATCGCTGTTTTTTTTTTTCTGAAATCGTCACCTGCCGGCCAAAGAATCACAAGCGCTATGTGCGACGTTTAAACATTTTCACCGCCGTTTAATTTTTGCACACAGAAATAGTTTGTTGAATCAAAATTTCACTTAATTTTATCGACAGTGCAAAGAAAATTCAGTGAAATTTTCAGACAGCTTTGTTGAACAATTTCTCTGTAAAAATAAAGTAGCGGCGGAAATTTTTGAACGTTGCATGGCGCTTGTGATACTTCGGCCAGAAGGTGACGAAATCAACTCTCAAGCTGAACATTTTTCAGGTTGAAGCCATGAGGGAAGAGCTTAGTTAGGAGCGATGAAAATTTTGATTACCTACATCAATTATCAATTCGATAATCAGTTCTAATTATGAATTAAAGGTGCATATCAATTTCAATTGTCAATTATTACTTAGCGCACCATAGCAAAATCACCATTTCGTCACCTTCCAGGCAAAGTATCACAAGCGCCATGCGACGTTTAAAAATTTCCGCCGCCATTTTATTTTTTTACAGAGAAATTGTTCAACGAAGCTGTCCGAAAATTTCACTGAATTTTCTTTGTGCTGCCGATAAAATTTAGTGAAATTTCCAAACAGATTCAACCAACAATTTCTCAGTAAAGAAATAAAATGGCGGCGGAAATTTTTAAACGTCACATGGCGCTTGTGATACTTTGCCTGGAAGGTGACGATTTCTCTGTCCAAGCTACTCTTGCGTCATTCTGCAGCTGTTCGCGAATTCGCCACCTCCCGGCCAAAGTATCACAAGCATCATGCGAAGTTTCAAAATTTCCGCCGTCATTTTATTTTTTTACAGAGAAAATGTTGGTTGAATCTGTTTAAAAATTTCACTGAATTTTATAGGCAGCACAAAGAAAATTCAGTGAAATTTTTGGACAGCTTCGTTGAAAAATTTCTCTGTAAACAAATAAAATGGTGACGGAAATTTTGAAACGTCGCGTGGCGTTTGTGATATTTTGCCGTACCTACGGTGACGAATTTTGATTACGCGTTCTACTTGAGATTTCTTCCGGACAGAATGAGTAATTAATAGATATAGTCGTAGCGTACTTTTATCGCTTAAGGATGACGCTCAAGGTATTATTTATAAACAAGGGAGGAAGAAAAAAAACTGTTCAGCAAACGATGGAAAATTCGCAAAAGCTCTTAAGACTGGAAGTTTCCGGCCAGGAAATCACGATAATCCATGAAAAACTGGACTGCATTTTTGGAATAAGGAGTTTCAAATTTCAGGCTCCTACATAAAAACACACCTATCTGCATGGGGAAACTATGATGGTACATATGTTGTATCAATAATGAGCAAGAGAATTTAGTCCCTAATTGAACCAATTAATTTCCAAATCACGTAAGCGCCAATCTCTATTTTGCTGGTAAAGGGGTTGTTTTTTCTTTGTTTTCTCTGGTATAATCGATCCTGTCTGATTTCAAAATAGCCTTCTAAAAGAACATACATTTTTGGAATTCGAAGATGGTCAACAAAGCGAACAAAACTGCATTTCTTGTTCTTCTCGCATTCGCAATTTTGGCGCTTGCGTTATTTTGAAAATATTCGGTCCAATTGCAAAATGTGGTCCGACTGTGGTTAGTCACGGAATGGCGAAAAACTGCGAGCGTTGTTATACGCGAGACGGATAACCGCGAAAATTTCCGATCGCGAAAAACAGCGAGTGTTCCGTTATACGCGACACGAATAACCGCGAAAAACTGTGAAGGTACCGAGCCACATCAGCTATTGCCAAATTTAACTGGATATTTTTTTACAGGAGAACATTCATGCGGATTTTTTTAAAATTTCAAGGAATTCGCTTCATTTTAGGCAGAAAATTCACTGAAATTTACACAAAAATCCGCACAACCGTTTTCATGTAAAGACTTAGGTAAACTGCCCAGTTAAATTTAGCAATAGCTCATGTGGCTTGGTTTCTTTCTGCTTAATACGGTCCAAATAAGCCCCTAAAAATTGCAATCATGATTTTCCTGATGGTTGATTTTCCATCAGTTCGCATGGTACTGAATTTGCAAAGCGAACAGTTGCAGTTCCGCTCATTTTTAGTCTTGGGTTTTTTGGTCCTTAGGCTTGAATTTGGCAAATATGTATTACCAAAATGAAAAAATGTACCGAAGCTAAGTGAGTAAATAAGAAGTTCTGGTCCAATACCTACGATTGATGAGGGAGTTTTCCCCCAAACATGTTCCGCCGTGGCTTCATGACTTTGGTTTAACCTTCATATTACGTATACATTTTATAGCTTTAGGCCTTAAGATGCGCTTACGGTTGAAATAGCTGGCACCCAATAAAGGCGCGTTCGCATGGCATGCCAAGCTGCTCGTCAGCCGCCCAGCATACGACTTAAAACACGTGCGCATACATGGTGTCTTAGTTGTTGTTTGCTCATGATGCACGCAGCATGCTTGGAGCTCAAAGAGGGCGCGTTAAGCTGAACGCCAGACAAGCAGCTTGGTATAGGTATCATGTGAACACACCTTAAAAATTCTCGTAGACCCAAAATGAAAACATGGGAATTAAACCGTAGGTACTACTGATGAGTAGATTTTACCCTTTAGATTTTCAGAGGTAGCATCACTGCTGTGTCAAAACATAACATGATGCGTGCTCCTTCCGAGAAGTGAAACATGCTCATTTCAAGGTTAGGGCTACAGTGAACACTTCATGGCTTTTCTGAGGTATGATGCTAGGGTATGAGCAGATAACTGAGAAAATGATCAAAAACTGGACTATAATGAATTAGGTTTCATAAAAAATAGCATGACTGGATGGAATTAAATCAGTTGGTTTTGAAATCACTTAAAAGTGAGGTTAGTTTCGTGGAAAACCGGGACGTGAATTCCTTCTTACCTGGCATCGGCAAACTAAATCTGCTTCACCGGCAAGCATGTCCACGACTTTCCCTTTGCCTTCATCGCCCCACTGAGCTCCTAAAATCACTGTTACCTTAGCCATTCCGAACAAATTACACCGCACACTGACAGCATGGACCGACTTCGCAACACAAATAAACACAACAGCGAGAGCAACCGCGGCACGAGCACTTGATGAAAGTTTAGTGATAAGGTTTCAAAGCTCACCGCGTGGTAGCGCTGCGTTCGCCACGCTAGTCACGTGACGGGTGGCGCGAAGATTAAATCTGCCGCCAAAAATTCAAAATTAAGCCCGCGCCAAAAAAGAGCGCAACTTATACTTCCGCTAACTGCATGTAATGAACCGCATAGTTCTACCCTCAAAAGTTCTTGAATGGACCATCCGTTGGTAGAAACTCGATTTGAGAGCCTGGTGCTGCCTCTTGTAGTAGGAAACTGATGGTCCTTAGAAAAACAATTCTGAGTATGAGATCGTCACATAAGTGGTAAAAGAAATGGATCAATTCTTCTGAATTGCAGCACTGAAATCATGCAGAGCGCGAATGACAGATGGTTCTCATTAAATATAAGGTGATATTATAGAAGGTTTTATTTATGAAATATTAGGAATTTGCGACCCTAAAATATTTTCTCAAATTCGTTACTCATTTTTTTAAAATTCTCTTTGGTCTTTTTTGCATTCTTCATTTTTTCTTTTTTCATCATGTTTCCTTAGAGGTTCATTTTCAAAATTACAGGGCTTCCTTTTGTAAGAAATATAGTATCAGCAGATATTTGGAGCCTACTTAAATGAAATGAGAAAAAGATTGAAAACACAAGCTTGAGAGGTAGATATTCTGTAAATAGTCTGAGTAAACATAACTATTTAATTGACATTTTGGAATTCAGATATACCTACTTAAATGAGTTTTTTCCCCGTCGTTTTGCTGTCTTTTTTTTCATTTTTATTAATAACCTTACACTAGGTACATTACAAACCAAATTTTATCAACTCTCATTAAAAACTCTTAATTTCTATTTCCTATGTTTTAGCCCTGTTTCTACTGTGCATAGTTCTTTCACTTGTGCTCATAAAATTGTGACGATGAATTCATCAGCTTCTGACAGACAAGTTCAAATTATTCTTGCATCTTGACCATGGTCAGAGAAGTTAGCTGGCCAAGGATTCTGAAACATGAATCAAATTAAGTAAAAAATGGCTTGAACCGAAGTCCGAAACTAAAAAATCTTGATCTGCTTAGGTACTGGCATAAAAGCATTGACTTGGCATAAAAGCATTGATTTCTAGAACTGAAAGAATGTACAAAACAACCTCAGCAAATCGACGTCACTGTTGAATTTCATCTAGAAGTATCCAAACTGCAACAGCTCAAAATTTTCCGAGCATACTTTAGGTACTTTTCAGCCCCCAAAAAACGAAAAAAAAACTTTAAGGCTGAAATTTTACTGTAAAGTAAAAGAAGACCACAGAAAATTCGAGCCAAAACTTGGGATTTTTCTTTCTAGAAAAATATGGCATACACTAAAAAGTTGAAACGTTGCTAGGTATTTGAGATGTGTGCAGTCGAGTCATATTTTATCAATTTGTCACACTGTAAAAACTTCATCATGTGCATTATCATTTATTCATGCACTCAAGTTTCAACTGGGAAGAAACCAGAAATTGGCTCTGCTCGTGTATACAAACTGCTGTCAAACTAACTGTAAGAAATACACTGAGCATAAAGAGCATCTAAATACCAGCATAATGTTTTTCTTTTTACTTTTTTTCAAGTTTCTAGGTAAGTACCCTGTTGAAGTTGAAAAATGCAAATTTTGCAGCCGCTCAGGAGATGTAGCGATTTTGAACCATTCAAACTAAACTTTGCATCAAAATCACCTCGAATTCAAATTCTCTTCATTTAGGCACTAGAACCTGATATTGGATCAATTTCAAACCGGAGTCCAAAACCGTTCCAACATGTTGACTTAATTTACTCAGAGGCTTTAATGAACGTTGGATTCTATTGCCGATGGGAATTTGATCATTTTCATGAGCTGTGGACGAAATGATCTTTATATTTGGATTGCATTTTGCAAAAAGGAACCACTAGCATTGCAATGATGCTAAGATTGTGCAACTTCATCTTTTGCGATAAAATTGCGGAAATCGTGAAAAACTATGAAATTTAGATGGTAATTTTTGTCTTAAATTTACAGTTTTTGGCGAGTAAAATAGAAACTATTAATGGATATTCGGGTTTTTCCTCCAAGACAAAAGAAGTTGCACAATCTTGGCAACATTGCAATGCTAGTGGTTCCTTTTTACAAAATGCAATCCATTTGAGCATTCATTAGTGATCAAAAACTGTAAGTGATGAAGTTTTGTTTAACTTAGAAGAATAAGTGAATCAATATTACAAGTAAGGGGAAAATATTATTATGGTGGTCACTTACTGAAAAAGTCATGGACTAAATATGGTAAGTGAAGAAGGATGAAGAGCTCTATAGGCCTCCAAATGAGGGCATACGAAATCTCAAGAACGACCAAAGAGAACCAAAACTAGATAAAAACAAACAAAAACGCATTTATTTACTTTCACGACTTTGAATGTTAAATCCCATGTTAGGTACGCTCTATTTGACTCCCCCCTACCTTAAATATCGCTATGCATCGTTGAAAAAGACATTTATGTGTTCTGTAATTGAAAGGCAGCCCCCAAGATGGAACATATAACATCCCTATAATGATAGAAGATATGAAGGTTGAAAATTATTTCTTTGGGAGAAATAATTACTTCCACGGATTTGATTTAACCAAAATCAATCTAACTGCATTTTACGATGCCTAATTTTCTCTCCGTTCTAACTTTTTTACCAGAGAATTCAACTGCTTGACGCCTTTAAACTGGTGAATTTACCCTGGATAATGAAAAATATTCTCACAAAATTTTAAGGCTTAGTCTGGCTTCGTTTTCTCTTTGAAAAATAAAACATCATGGAAAATTAGGCAACGTTGAATGTAACATTAGGCTGATTCTGTTTAAGTCCCTCCAATTTTAATGGATTCATAATTAATCACGTCAATGACCGTTCATTCATGGGAAAATATGTCCATGAGGAGCAGAAACACATACCATTAAAAAATGCAAAAGAAAAATGTAAAAACTTATTTTGTTATTGATGTTTTACATGTTAAGAGCCTACGCCTACGTAAAACAGCTCAAAATAACTCCATATTGAGGGAAACTTCACAGTTAAATTAAAACGCCAACGTTTATGGGAAAACTACAATAACAACAAAAATTATTTGCACTTACATCAAAAAAGGTACCAAGAAAATATGGCAATGGGCGAATATTCCTGGAGGGAATGAAAAATCTATGAGTAAATATCAAAGCTGCACTTGAGAAGAGCAGGCTGGCTAGGAATGGGCCTTTTGTCTCGGAATTTTTTACAAGCCAGTCAGCAAAAGGATTCCCAAAAATACAAAACCCGCGAGAGTAAAGTAGTAGCGCTGCACAAGGTACAAGTTTTTTAATCATTTGACAAGCATACGGGCATTTCTTTTCTTGTTTTGATTATATTGAGGTTAGAACAGCTGATAATTTAAAGTATATGTTGTCATGGTTTTCTACAGTATAGCTCAACAAGGCGGAATAATTAAGGGTATTTAACTGATAAGTCACAACAGGCGAGGGTTAAACTTAATACTTTTTATTCTCATGTGAAACATTTTGAACTCAGAACAAAGTAACAATGATTAAACGCTTGCACTCAAAAATAATTAAAATTACGAATACGTAGTAATAAATGAAAATTAACAAGTGAACATAAAAAGTTAACAACAACAATGAAAGATAGATAGAGATGGAATTCTGCTCTCAATAATGGAGGGTATGTTAATGATTCGGTGTAAGCCAAACTGAGGAAATTTTAAGCAAGATTTAATGGCGAGACTTACCAAAATGTTTCCTTGAAATTTTGTATGATTTTTTTAGAATGAGCGAAGATAATACACAGAGAATTTCAGTAGAAACTATTGGCTAGTCTCACTTTAAAAAAATTAAATACGAGCATTGACTTAGCTACAATGTTGCAATCCAAGATATGCATTTTTTGAATTTAGCCGTCGATGCTCAATTTTTACAAAATTCGCTGTTTGCAATACCCTGATTATTGGAGAACTTAATGACTAAGTAAGTACATTGCACGGCAAAATTACAAAAAATAGATGAATTAATAAATAAATTAATAATCAGATTCCTTTGTGAGAAAAAATTGAAAACAAGTCAAAATCTTATCAATGAATTTGCGATCATTCAATTAGACTATTCTTAGTTTGGTAAACAATAATACTGATCAAAATCAAGTAAGCCTAAGACTACGTCAGGCGGAAATATTATTTAAGAATAATAAGATAATATAAAGACGTACAAGCAATGATTTAGGGTTTATAAAAAATATAAATAACATTTTCCGTGAATTTGTTTTAAAAGTGCATTTGTATAATACTTCACCTAGGAAAAATAAGACGGCATATTGTCAGTAATTCGTCCATTATTTAAGCAACAAATAGCTCAGCAGAATTGACTATGTATTTTTATGCATGTAAAAGTACTTTAATTTGACTGTTCCTGGGAAAAAGGACCTTATTCCATATAAATTGAGATTGAGTTGTTAAAATTAAAGCATAGGCGAGTTTCTAAAAATATTTTGGGGCAAAAATACCAAATATCAAACCAAACTACAGTGATAGCGGTTTAAAAGGTGTGGTTAAAAAAAATATTCCAGGGAGTCATATCTGAAATTCTAATGTGGCATGTTCAGGGTATGAAATTGCCAAATTTTAATGCAAATCTACTTTTTTTATTGACCTAAAATGAACAAGAATTAAACTAGCACCTTAAAGACTACGATACTAGAGAGAGTTTCCTGTAAACATCTCATTAGAATGACAAGAAATTGCTCTATGGGAGCTTCTGCCTCGCCTTCTGGTTACTCCTTTGGAAAGTCTAGCAACATTAACGATAATAGACAATTATTACAAGTTACATTTCAAGCTTCTGCTGACCAAATATTCAGAAATAGAAAAAGTCAGTTATATTTTATCAGTCGCTCAGTAATTTAAAAGACAAAATACTGAACAATTCCCTTCTAGTAAGGGAAATTAATCAATAAATATATCTGGTATCTTGTGCGTTTTAAAAAATTGAGTATCTGTACAAAATTAAAGGTAACAAAAAGGAATCTCTCTCACCGGGTAGATTTGTCGGACTTCCAGGGTGCAATGAAAGATTTACTGTCTTCATTTTAGGACTGATACTAAATGCATAATGGAAGATAGCAGATTCAAAAAGTATTTTTCCAAAAGGTGATCCACTTATTTAGCGTAAGCTCAATTCATTTGCAAACATATTTACTTGTCTTGTGTTTGTTCATTAATAAACTAATTAATTGGCAACAAAAAGGCTTTCATGGTTATTGGAGAGAAGAAAATAGCGATGAATTTGCTCAGTAATACTTTTTTCTTGCATTTTTGTTGAAGACTAAAGACTTCACTTGGTTCACAGGAATTCGTTCATGATACAATCGATGAAAAACAAGTTCAAAGTTGCATATTTTGAGCCCCCATTTAAACCTGCATCTTTGAGAAAGCCAAGATGTCTCCCAAAACGATCCTCCGTGCTGCAGGTATACTTTTGACAGCGCAAACTTTATGATGCAAATCATAGTTCCTGCAGGAATGCATTGATAATAGATACATGGGCCATAAATCACCAAAAGGGGGCAGCGTAAAAATGCACCCCCTGCGGAAATGATATTTTCGGACGCCGCTTTGGCTTTCTTGACGATGTGTAATAAAATGAAGGCTCAAAATATCCAACTTTGAACTCGTTTTTAATGGGTAAAATTCAGAAAAATCCATGTGGACTAAGTGCTTCTTTTTAACTGGGCAAGAATTAAATATTACTCAAAAAGCTCATTGATTACTAGATCAACTCAGCACTCCTCAATGTGAGGGAACATGTCTGAGGAATGGTTACAGGATCTTTATTGGAAAAAACGTTTTTTCATTCGAAATTATGTTCACTAGGAGCATTAAGGTAATATGACTAATTGACTATGATATCTTGATTCAGTGATTTTGTCTATGGTCAGAGTTGAAAAACTAACTTTTCCTGCGAATAAAGGAAAAATATTAGTAAAGGTCAATATTGTAGGTTCTGATACTCATTGACTTCTTTTCAACTTAAATCAATTAGAGAAAGACCTGCCTCTCTCCTGATGCAAAGCCTGATGATGAGAGCTTTAATTGGAGAATCGATTGTACACATATATGTACATAGTAGAATAATTACTATACAGAGAGCTTTAGAATCAGATAAGTTCATTGACCACCTCAGAGATTCTAATTTATTTATTTATTTATTTATTTTAAGGCTTGGTCCTAATATCTATTGAAATAAAAACTTCAAATGGTTTTCCTTTTAGGCTGGAAGACTTTTCCTTCAAAGATTAGATGACATTTGAACAAGGAGAAACTAAAGTGTACACCATTTTGAGCCCACAGACAGACATCCAAGGCGCCTATTGAAAATTGTAACCACAGGTTGAATCATAACAAAGTCTAATAGGACCAGGCTTCGGTGTAAAAACAAGGAGATGATTTCAATCTCCAGATCATGGATTCAAAACTTCATAGCTCATGTCCAACATCAATAGACTCAAATCAAACCCTAAGTAAGGGTGTTCGCTATTCCTCTCTTTGAGACACACTTCAAAGCGCACTTCTAATATTTTTACATAACTGACAAAAATCTATTATGATAAGCAAAAATGCCTAAAAAAACACGAATTTGGATTAATACAAACTGATGGCAAGTTTGTACTTACTTTTTAAAAATAATGCGGTAACTGCAAGGGCCTACTTTCAAAATCTAGGAGAGCAAAATCCAAGACTCAAAATTTGACAAAATAATTATTTCAAAAGCAAAGCAGTAGTCTGTAGTTGTGGATATGTACTTAACTATGGACTTGAAAATTGAATGAACTCATTTAAAAAGAGCGAAATTCCAAAAATTCATGAGCCCTGGCTTCCACTGTTTACCAGGATACCAGGAGAGCTAGAGCTTGTAAGTTTTCATACTTCCACCCTTTTTGCATGATTCAATTCAACTGGTGAACCTTTTTTCTACTCATATACTTTATCAATGACAGAAATGTGTTTAAAAGTATACTGAAGGTAAGTTAAACATTAACTTAAAAAAAAATAAAAACTCATGCAACTGATAAAAAATTGCACAAGGCAGATATACTAATCTGTAAACTCCGCTGCCGGCTCCTCAATTTCCTGTTTTGGTTTTAAAAATAGCAATGGTGACATGCCTAGTATGCAACCAACTGTGACACCAATTGTACGACCCTAAAAAGAAGGCAGAGAAAACATGACGAATCATAAAGAAATTGATAAAAAAACTAGTGATGAAAATATGGAAAGAGAAACTTTTTTTCCTAGCAAATTCTCCATTTATTAAAAAATAACCTGGAGAAATTACTGGCCCATACAACCCACTCCTCCACTCTTGAACATACACTTGGATCTGTTGTTTTGAGAAGCTGTCAATCATTTTGTATTGCTATGAAGATCATGACCTGTCACTAATGTTCAATACAGACTCCAACAGAATACCATGACATGTATTTTCAGAAAATCATGAGATCTTTTTATCTCCAGTGAGAAAACTTGTGGACATATCTGTACCGATTGGATGGAATTGTATAGAATCAGCACAAGAGCATTTCATGATGCCTAATTTTCTCTCATGTTATATTTGTTTTACAGAGAAATAAATTACCCTTTAATTTTGAGAAAAGTAGCAGAGATTCTCCCAAATTTTTTTCTCAATATCTTGTTTTTCAGGTACTTCTGTGAAAAGAATCTATTAAATATTCAGGCACTTTAATTTAAAAAAAAAAAAAACCTATGATTAAATTTTTTCAAAAAGACTTTTCCTTTGCTTAGCAGAGTAACTTACCATATTTGCAGCTCGGCGTGTAATTTTCATGTCCATTTGAACAGGGAGAAGTTTAGGAGGTTGAAATCCAAGCTTGCTGACAGCTTGTTCAACGTACCATGCAGAGCCAATCCCTAGAATGTCTGATATCGTGTTTCCTAATGCAGCTGCTGTCATTGTTGTTATGACGATGAATCCACTAAGTGCTGCCTCTATAGTATCACCCTGAAAAATTATCATTTTTTTTTATTTATTTTAAATTTTTCAATAATTAAGTGGAGGATACAAAATGTAATTAAAGAGATTATCTCAAAGGGTTTTAGTAATCTTTATAGTTTTTTTCTAAAACAATTAAAGGTTCCTGCACCTTACAGAACATTAAACTTAGCTGACTACCTTGACCAGCGGGGCGATTATTGAAATGATATCGACTGTATGTCAGCGCTTTGTCGTGTCGCGCCATCGACTAAGCAATGGCTTAGTCGATGGCGCGACACGACAAAGCGCTGACATACAGTCGATATCATTTCAATAATCGCCCCGCAGGGGTTGCAAAAGCTTTTCAACCTTGTAATTTACAGATTACAATTGTTCGAGTGCAACAATGGAAAGGACTGCATACATTCGCATTTGTTTTCAGCAAAATTGCAGAAATTTTTAAGTAAAGAGCAAAAAAAAAAAAAAAACCCATCACTTTGAAATCTTTGTGGGAAAACGGATTTTTACAACAGGAAGGGCAATTTGGAAAAAATGGAAAGGCTAAAAATTTTCAACATAGTTATTTTTTGCTCTCTTTTTTGCGCGATGAGTTTTACCAGTCTTCACAAAAACTTGGAACACAATGGCCTTTTTTGCTATTATACTTAGCTACTGTCAGACGCATTGAGAGGAAAACGAGCATTTGACAAAACTCAAGCTAAAAATGACACTGAACTTCTTATCATCTTCAGTTTCATAACGTCCTGTGAGAGAACTTTAGTATCGTTTCTGGCTTTAGTATTGATTAGTTCTTGCTTTCATCAAATGCACCTGATGATGGCTACAATAGCCAAAATGAACAACGCATTCTAAATTTTTGTGACAACCAGTAAAATTTATAGGGCAAAAAAATATGCAAAAGATAATGGCCATGACGCGTGATCCAGGAAACCTGAACATATCATTTTTCTGCATCCCAGGCCTTGATGACAAAGGTTTAGTTTCTAAAGTGACTGATGGCCCTCTAGAAAACATGTTGTATACCTCCTAAAAACACAATAGAAGGAACCTCCCTTTGTGATTTCCTCTGTAGAGGAAGAAGTAAGAAGATTGGGAGGCTACTGAGCTACTTAATGCTGAGCAAAAAAGCTCGAAAAAAAATAGATGCAGCCTTAGATTCTTCCTTGATGAACTGTAACTATTCTTGCTGCAAACAACGTAAGGTGAAAATATTTTGAGATGCATGAAATGTAATTCTTCAAACATTCCCTCTGTGGATTTGACCTTGTATTGGTGCCACTGAGCCAACCACTTCAATCTGAAGAATCATGAAAAATGAATAGTAACCATGATAATTCTCGTTAGTTACAAAATGAAAATGAGGAAAAAGTTAAAGTTGAATGGTAAAGAAGGCTTGATAAAAATTGACTTACAAAAGTGATCATGAAAAAATTATCTAAGAATCCAAAGCCAATAAACGGGATTGCATTGAAGATGGCAACTGAAAGAACAAAAAACAAAACATTAATAGCATCTTGTTAGGTTTCTTTGAAGAACATCCCAAGAAAATATTTTAGTTGTCAGCCGTACTAAATTATTATCAACTGAGATAGTTTCTGGATTAAACTATTAATCATCAAAGAGAAAGACAAGAAAAAAAGTCTGAGCAGAAATCGACTGATAACTATAAGGCACTACTGAACCCCTTTTGTTACAACTCCGATCAGAGAATTGAGAAAATTTTGTAATCAAAGTTTGTGTTAACAATTTACTTCCTAACTTCAATGGAACATTGATGAAGTAGTCCATTATACATTCACAAAAATTGCCTTCTCCAGTGACCTCCAAGGCTCTTTGACGTATTACTGCCAAAGCTGTTCATCTTTCTATCGCCCTCCAAAGGTCTGAAACCCTTTAAAATCTTGCTCAACCCTTTATCACCGCCTTTCACTAGGGATTCCTTCTTTTTCCTCTCTGGACGATTGAGGAACCCAACTTTGGACCCTCTTTGGAAACCGCAACCTAGCTAGTAAATTATTCAGACAGTTACAGGCTTGATGTAAGAGCCACTTTCATGCAACCAATCAATTCCATAATTCCACTCCTACTCAATTTGGTCTTGCTCATGAATGCAAAAAAAAAAATTAAAAAACTGGTTCGCTGTACTGAATACTTAATTTCAAAATATTAACTGTATCTGTGGCAAGGTTTTATACAAAGGCACCATAAAGTTTTTCTACACTGACATGCTGTATAGGTACTGAAGCCAATACAAAGAACTACCAATGAGAAAATATTAATTTTCAACTAGTATTTGGCAAAGTTTGATAATATTTTTGAACTTCTTTATCACTTCCTTTGTTACTTTTGCAAAAAGTCCTCTTGACAAAATTTATTAGTCTGTAATCCCCCGTCAGTGGAACAGTACCTGATTGCATTAAAAATCCAAAGGTAGATGGAGAAAAGAGGAAAAGGAGGATAAAGATACGAGAAAGTTGTTAAGGCATACCTCTTATGATATCACTACGCGTTGGTTGTGGGACAGTTTCCGCTGAAAAAATACAGAGAAATAAAGTGGTTAGACTTCACATTAAAAGTAAAGAGAGACCATTTTGCTCTGTCAATACGACCATGTGTCGATTTGCTGAAAAAATATGGTCACAAATAGAGCACAAAAAAGGCAGTGATATCTTAAGCTTTAATTCAATTCTAAAATGGATCTAGGTACTACTTAATTTCATTTAATTCTGTGATGGAGCTCGGTATTTGTATCTGATACTTGGCTCTATCTCCCTTATTTTGAAAATTGCTTGCTACAAAGCTCTTATGGCAAAAATCATGTCTCAATAAGAAAAATGTAGGCTCATTTATTCTCAGCACCCAAATAAGTTTAAAATTATACTTGACAGGTCCAGTATGAAGAGCTGCAATTTCCATTCTGTGGTGTAAAAATTTTGAAAATGATCTGATATACCTATTAAAATAAGTGACCCATATCACTTATCTGCATAACACACTGTCATAATTTTGCCGCTAATATGCAGACAATTTTTGATACTTAAAGTACATTAAGAGAAGCTCACCCAATCTTTAGGATTACAATAAATTGAATGATTCCCAAATTTTAACACAGCGGACTTTAAATCCTTAGCGTTTCACTTATCAAAAACATAGAAACATCTATACAAGATAATATACTTACGATTCAAATCTAGAAATTAGCAGCAATAGAAAAAAAGAAATAATTAGTAATTGAAAATTGAGCGAACTAACATATTGAAAGGACATTTCAGGGGTAAAATATCAATATTACATGCAGTTGAAATATATATGGACATGTAAGATTCTTTTCTTGTGTGCTGAACTGTTTGACCTGTTTGGTGGAGGTGACTGTAATTTCAAATTATATGATTAAACATAGATATTGATAGCTAAAGTCGCAAAATACGTACCTCAGTTTTCATCGTTGTAAGTCTCCACTCATGTTCAATTATTTTAACAGAAAGCTGACTGAAATTTAGTATTGAAATTGTTGGTGAATTTTCTTTACTTAATGTAAAGAAATCATACAAAATTACCAGGAAACTTATTGATTAATTTTCTATAAAATAAATAAAAAATACTTAAACAGAAATTTTCTAATGTCATACAATTGAGCTACATATTTTTCGCATTTAGCCATCGATATCCTACCGCACATTTTTTGTAAAATGGGGGGCTTATTATCCTAAAACTTTCTCATGGTTTTTTATTACTTTTGGTGCTATTCGTGGATGTTCTCTGCTCCTCTGACGTACGAGTATACCTCCATATTCACAAGAGCACCAGAGAGCATGGAGTTTTATGGACTACAGAGCTCACATGGAAATGGAGATTCGCACATATGACAGAGGAGCAGCAATTTGAAAAATTCTCCCCAACTAAATTAACTTTTGGAAAAGACATTATAACATCATAGTCAATTTTGAGGCTTTAAGAAGGTCATCCGGAGGCATAGCCTTGAGGGCAAGCTCAGCTAAGACGACAACAGAGAAGATTATCAAAATGTATCATATCTATCATCAGTAGTAGTAAGTTTAATAATGAGTTGACAGGAAGTCGGGAGTTTGAATTAAAAAAAAAAAAAAAACCTAAAGCTGTATAATTGTAAAATAACAGAGGGTAAGGCCCTGATCTTGCGAATACTTACTATACTTTTGCAGCAACCAATCTTCTGGTAAAGGACAATATGATCCAGTAGGATCAACATCTCCGAGTTGAGCAAGCCTACTTGGTCTCCCGAACTCTGATCTCCATCGATATGCAGCTAATTGATCTGAAAAAAAAAATGGAAAAAAAATATATAAATCGTCAATAACCAGAAAGGCTTTTCATCAAGAGGTCAGATTGAACTTTCATTACCAATATGATATTAGACTCCCTACCAGCTGTAGTCATAAGTCTTAATTTCTGTTCAGTATTAATTTTGCTGGACAAGCAGTCAAGTTGTCAATGGGTTTACATTATATTAGTGTGAGAGGGTAGAATGTTGGATTAAAACGTCAAGTTGATGAACCTCCCAAGAGAGACAGCTACACTTACCTTTGTAGTCTGCTTTGGTTTCATCTGATGTCACATGATGAATTGACTCTAGCAAGTATTCCCTTTCTTCTGGGCTTAAATTCCTTACAAGTTCATCAGCCTTTTCTTTCGTTAATGGATGAGTAGTATCTGACTTCAACGTCGAGAATCTTCTTAAACAGTTTGTGCGCTTAAAATAATGGCTCCTCACACTTAAAACATAGGAGTTTTGGCAAAAGGAATATTGTTTGAGAATCATCTTAGAGAAAGCAATGTGAAAATTTGAACCCATTTTGAGTAAGTTGAGATTTTGGTAAGTTCAAAGCAGAGGTAAATTGAAAGATTGGTTTACAAAGTTGTTTTCCAAAAAGTTATTTAACCGAGGTGGATTTTGAAAGACTCTTTCGGAATCATTATGGATGAGGTAACTTAATTAAAATTAATATTAATATAAATAATATTGTATTGAAGAACCAGAGAAGTGAAACCCCTTTCTTATCACTTATCACTAGCAACTTTTCTCGCCCTACAAAAATAAACAAACAGCATAGAGTTTTCTCCAAGAAGAGTAGCAACCCCACGTGGGTGGTTCTCCGATTATACAGGAGCCCTTGAAATTGCCTTGAAAGGACTCAATAACTGCATATTTATTATATTGATGACATAAAGGTACTTAAATCCTATAAAAATGTTTAAAAATCAAGTAGAAATAGTTTATTCATCCGTTCCAGTTACATTTCCTCAAAGTAGGAAATCGATTTCACCATAATCTAAGAAAATTTAAACCGCAGTTGGTGTATGGGGTGAAGACCTATGTGGTAGTCATTTAGTCTATGATTGTGGTTTGTTTGTTTGTGTAGATGTTCTCCTATTTATTTTTGCCACAGAGAATTCGATCGGGAAAAACGCAAATGTCATAATATATTTTAGAAATTATTCCCCAATAACCTCTCTAGAAGTGAATTTATTACCCATGCATCGTTTCCTCAAGTAGTTCCTTAACAACCATCATTTCATTTCCGTATGTTCGCGTCCAACCCTTTGTGATAAGAGAAGGAAGGAATGACGTGATCACAATTAACTAGATGGAACTGCTTAAAACCCATCAATATTACGTCTTGTTAAACGGAGAACACAGTCTTTGGTGTGACCGCAAAACTGGGGCGTTTGAAGCCAAGCCAGGTAAAACTCCAATCATTATTGAAGCCTCTTACCAGCGTAACCAAGGGGCACTGGTCCGCTCAAATATGTTACCTCCAAATCCACCATTCCCACATTTCTACCAGTTCTAAAATGTGTTACATACCAAATTTCTGAGGATTGATAGTTGTACATAGAAATTTCTGCGGTCCAAGCTTCTCTGTTGTTCTGTGTGGGTCGTGCGTTGTTGTTTTATCACCGATAGAAAGGACAGGGGTTAAGTATGCTGAAACTAGAGTTCTTGCAGTTCCTTATGCAGCTATTTTAGCCCTTGTTCCATTTTGATTAAGTAAATAAATATCTAAGTATCAGACGTATCAGTGTTATGGTATAAGTACCAAACCCTGCATCTTTTTACTCTCCATCGCTAAGAAAATTTTGGGAGATTGCTTTTATTGCGGTCACAGCAGCCGTTAAAAGATGATTAAATCTTCACCAAAAAAATTGCAAAACTTTTTGTGTAGTAGATCTGGCATAAATTCCTTCATAAGCAACTTCGCTATGGGTTGCAACTCTAATAGGGAGCCTTAAACCTACAGAGGAACACTGAAATTACCCGCACAGATGAACCGCTTTACTTACTCCAGACATCACAATTATCATCTACAAGGGATAGTAGAAATGTGTAGGAAAACATTTTGTGTTCTATGCCTTTTAATATTTTACTCTCTTGTCTAGGAATGTTATTCATCCTGATACAGATGAATACACAGTACAAAGAAGCATTCTCTACCATGTCCGAGGTTGACTTTTTTGCCACCAACCCGATGGTTGAGACAGAAGAAATTAAATAAGGACGGGGGCGAGAGTGTCAATATTTTCAGAAGATTATGTCAGTTTCTCAGCATGTTTAACCTACTTTTTGTTGAATTTTACCCGCATACTTAACGGTTACTTGCTAAAGAAAATAAAAATTCACATACCCCTTTCTTTCTCCTCAGAAATTTTCTGCCGAAGACAACTACCTTGGTGACCACTATGTAACGCTGAGTGACCATGAAGTAAAACTTTTCTTCATTGAAAAAATGTTTCCAGCACAAGGGATGTTTTTCGCTTCCTTCCGTTGATTCAATAAGACTAATCCTTACAGTATGGTTTTGTCTCTATAATGTATGCTTATATTTCTTTTTTCCAAAGGATGGGAGCTAGCCAATGGTCAAGATCCGGAATGTCTCGGAATATTCTATGGCCTCATCGGGCGAATTCGGCTGGCTGACTGTGATGATAGACTGTTATTGATCAAAGAGTGCGCAACTGTTGGTACTTTACCATCAGGGCATGTCGTCAATGCCATCACCTCCATTGCAATACTCCAGCCTACTGCTCAGGTACATCTATTACCAAAGATAAAAATTGTTTTTTTTTCTTACTTAAAAGTCTTGTAGGGTTGTGGTACAAGTCAGCACAAGAGGAAAACAAAAATTGAAAAAATAAAATATTATGATCAAAGGACTGTAGGTAAAAAGCAAAAAAAATAAAAAAGAGGCTGGCCGACAGGTATTTAGTCATGGAGGAGACTTTGTTGGAGCCCTTCAACAGCTCATTAACAGAGTAAAGGGCTTTAGAAAGAAGAAATTTATGGAGGCTGTTCAGGAACATAGTCAATTTCCCGTCTTGAAAGCGGATTTTAATATCCCATGGGAGGGCATTAAGTATTTGAATAGATGAGAACTGGACCGCGTTTAACAGAAAGGAACCAAGCCACATCAGCTATTGCCAATTTTAACTGGGCAATTTAATTTTTTACGAGAAAACGTTTGTGCGGATTCCTTTTTGTTAAGGAATTTGCCTCGTACTATGGAGAAAATTCACTGAAATTTGCACGAAAATCCGTACAACTGTTTTCATGTAAAAATTTAAATTAGCCGATTAAATTTGGCAATAGCTGATTTGGCTTGGTTCCTTTCTGTTTAACGCGGTCCAACTCATGGTCATGTCAATAGAATGACGGACGAAGGGCTGCCGAAGAAGATGCCTGATTGGGTTCCTCCTGGGAGGAGATGAAGGGGATGCCCTGTGAAAGAGTGGCAACAGGAGGTTTAAGAAATATATAAGGGGTGCCAACTCCCTGAAGGGCTTTGGGAGGATAGGAGACTTTGGCGGCTAGGCGTAACAGAGCGCCAGAGAGCGCTATGAAAGCGGCTCTATATGTATGAGAACTTGACATGACGCATCATAGCGGAAAGACAAACTTTGGCATTGCTCGTGTCCCTGGGTCTGCTGTTCTAAGTGTTAGCTGGAAGAAAATCTTGAGCCACAATAAGTTTGTGAAAGATGAATAAAATGATTAGAGATAGCAAGGAGGCTGAGCAGCTGTTGGCAAGGAGAGTTTAGAGGGCGATTAAACATAATTCTTCACAACTTTTCTTATTTTTGATAGCTCTCCTTTCTCATCCAAGAGATTGCATGTCTTTTCTCTCCTAGAGCCATTTTGAGGTACAGCACGCCCGGTGCGCAAGTTTGTCAGGTAAGTAAGTCAGTGAGGGATGGCAGTGTGATGATCAAAGAATTCAATGGGATTTCCTCTGACATACTGTAATACCGTCTTGGATTGACGCCTTTAGCAGTGGACTTGCAAGCCCTAAATGTTATACCTTTATTGCTTTGTTGTTTTCTTTTGTTTTATATAGCAACTTTCATGTAATTCACAGGGTGTAAATGATATTGGACTGAAACCATGCAGGAAGCACCACAAGCAACAGTTGGATCTTTTAGCCGCAAGTAGCCAAAAAGCAGCAATCGCCAAAACATGGGGCTCCATAAAATCAGCCACCTCATCCATCAAAACATCATCAACACAGCATGGATTCATGCAATCGGTCAGTCACCTGATCTCTTCTAATCAAAGATTTTTAATCATGTGATTTGAATTGCACGCAAAATAAAAATCTATTCTAGTAGAGTATGATGAAAGAAAAATGCCTCTCAAGCAAATCAACTTATAAAGTTAAGCTGAATCTAAAGTACCTTCTATATTGTTTTTCCTTCTCCATGAACTAGGTATCATTAGAGACAAACCATGAATTTATTAAATTCCTCAATTAAATGAGTGAAACGTGATATCAATTCAGTTCAAAGATTCTCTTACTTTTATATTTGCCAAACATCAATCTCAAACGCCTTGATGAAAAAGAGATCAAAAGAGCCTTCCAATTTGCTGTATTAAAATAAAAACCAAGGAAAATTCAAAGTTTGCAAACTATAAGACTTCTTACTGGTAAATCAATTTATCCCTCTGTTTACACCCATGTTTTTTGTCTAGTTTGAATTTTATTTCCCTGCTTCTTTGCTCTGAATCTCACAATATTAAGATATGTTGTTTGTATTATTTTTAGAGTTCCAAAACTGGGTTTTCCCTCCGAAAAGAAACCAAAGAAAAAGAAAAATTTGAGAAGCGAATTGTAGATGAATTGTTCAGAATTTTCACGGGCACCGATTCATTCTATTATTGCCCAAATGGGGGTGATCTCACTAACTCAGTCCAGAAACAGTATTACAATTCTGATCGAGAACCAAACGCATTCAGCTGGAGGCTTGTGGATGATCGGTTTTTCTGGAATAAACACATGCTGCAGGATTTAATACTTACTAATGTGAGTTTTCAGTGTTGATTATCATTATTATTCTTACTTGACTTTAGCTGAAGCAGCTACTTGAAAAATTTCCTCCTCCGAACTAATTTTTCTGAAATCTTTTGGTTGAATATGAACGTTCCACATTGTTCATTATTTTCTATTAATTTTGTTCAATCCCTAAACATTACGTTTCCCATGAAATAAAAGATTGTATGTTTTGAAATTCCTTGAAGACTTTTTTTAAAATTTTATTTCTTATGAGAAGCGATTAAAGAAAACAAATATGTATAGCCCATGGATGTGGAGGGAGATAGTTCCGAATAATAATAGTGAACCAAACTTTAAATGGAACTTGAGCGGAGACCTACAACTATGCAATATTCATGAGACGGAGATATCCATTTTACTCCATCGATATTCTGATATGAAAATTTTTATGATTTTATCATGACTCATATTTATTATGTTCAAATCTAATTCTCTAAAATTTTTGCCCTTGTTTTCAGGATCCGCAGATGGACCCTTGGATTATTCCTATCATTCAAGGCTTCGTTCAGATCGAAACGGTGCATTTAGATTGTAAGAAAGAGGTTAGTACTTGTAAGTGAAAACCACTATGTAAACAGGAGACAATTTTGGAGAGAAACATAGATGAAATGAAATTAAGGTCATTATAACAGAAGGTCAATATTATACATCGCATGATTTATTCCGTGCTGGAGAGAATGCCTTATTTTAATTATTTTTTATCATCTCTAGGGAGAGAGAACCCACCATTTGGATGAAGATTTTTAAGGCGGGTAAACTTCATCAGCTTTTGATAAAAATTTGGCTCTTGGATCTTTAGCACCTCAATAAATAAGCCACTAGTGGTCTAATTCATTTTTGTAATGACAACAGTCAACAGATACATTTTTATAACCAACTTTGTTGAATTTAGAACATGGTCGAGCAATACCGTTTACCTTATCAATAGGTTTTTTCAAACGGTAATAATTATAACTATTAGGATAATTTTTCTTTTTTCTCCAGACATAGGTTGTTTTTACGAACAATTTTGTGCAATTTTAAACGAAGTCAATTTTGCTTTTTGAAACTCTACAATTCCTTTTTTTTGTTATTGTTCTCATATATTGCAGTAATATCAAGGAGGTTCTGGAAATTTAGTAGAATAATCATTAAAGCTAAAAACCACTCAAAACTTTTAAAAACAGATTTTGGGCCTAAATGCGTACAGAAATAAGTGGTCATAGTAATTTCCTTCAAAATTTCTTTCTCCCATCACTGTTTAGGTTTAATAAGATTTGATTGGAACAAAACCATTTTAATTTGCAAGTTTGAATGAAAACCAAGGTGTTGTAATGAATATTTATTAACTACTGAAGCACCTTTCGGCTTATGCCATCTTAGGAGTACATATTCATCGGAACATAAATATATCACAGTTATTTTACACTAGTTGTCATAAGCTTAACAATATACACATCATGGACATCATACAAAAAGTCTAAATTACGCGAAAGTCAAATAGTTCAGAGCGATACTCCTGATAAAATCGTAAACATTCGAATCAGCTGATTGTGGCTACGTACGCTCACTTATGTTCCGATGAATATGTACTCCAAAGATGGCGTAAGCCGAAAGGTGCCTCAGTAGTTAATAAATATTCATTACAACACCTTGGTTTTCATTCAAATTTACAAACTATTTAAGTCTCTAAGTAATGAAACCTTTTCGTCTTCCTCAGGCATTTTCATTAACAATAATCAGTCGAAGGAGCAGATTCCGAGCGGGAACTCGTTACAAACGAAGGGGCCTCGACGAATCAGGGCGATGTGCTAATTATGTTGAAACGGAGCAGATTGTATGTTATAAGCACCATTGTGTTAGTTTTGTTCAAGTAAGAGGATCCGTGCCTCTGTATTGGAGTCAACCCGGCTATAAATATAGACCTCCGCCTAGGTTACATAGAAGTAAGTAGAATTCATATTCGTCTTCGCTTCTCTCTGTAGTAGGTAAATATTGTTTGTTAAGGTGATTCGATGGACGCCATATTTTGTGTCAGAACGGCATGCGATATATCGCATCAATTGGTTCCATTTTTTCAGCTACTTGTCATTTTTCTCCAATTTTGAGATCGCAATTCTGTTGTCAGGAGACTAAAGCACTCACTTACCAATTTTAACAAAGAAATTCAACGTAATAAAGTTGTGGTTTTTTTAGGGAGAAAACATTGCATTCGATACTGATATCGAAACTGCACTTGAATGCGATATTTTCTCTCTTAAAAAACCACGCCTTTATTACGTTGAATTTCTTTGTTGAAATTGGAAAGTGAGTGCTCAAGTCTCCTGACAACAAAATTGCGCTCTCAAAATTTGAGAAAATTGACGAGTAGCTGAAAAAATGGAACCAATTGATGCAATATACATATCGCACGCCGTTCTGACACAAAATATGGCATCCATCAAATCACCTTAAATGGTCCTTGGCTCAATTCAAACTGGTGATAAAAATTAAAAACATTATATCTTCAACAGTTGGTGATGTCGGAAATTTCTGATTATATTTTATTTTTTAAATGAAAGACCAATCACTATACTTTCTTAAACACGTCTATATTCTTTTTTATTCTTTTTTTCCCTGAATGAAGGACATCCTGTAAAGGTTTGCACACAGTTTATCAGCTGTAGTACAGCAATGAAGTATCAGCAGGAATTTTCATATTTGGATTTTTATATAAGATGCTGAGTCTTTCTCTGTACATCATTGACATGTGGTGAGCAATGATACGACTTTTCTTCATGAAAGGGAGCCTTACTGATGAGTTCCAGTATCTTTCGCGAATCACTCTCTGGGGAAACTTGACTACCTGCCACGAAGAAAAACTGCTGGCAGATGCAGTAAAGTTGAAAAAGCTAGCCATAAATTATGCAGACTGTGTGCCAAGGAAATGATTTCAGACTTGTTTGATATGCCGAAGGTAGTTTTTGTAAAATTTTACTTGTAGAAAGTCTATTCCTTTGGCCGCATGTATCTTTTGTGTGCAACAGACCCATTGAGTTGTGAGACAGTATTTGAGTCTGTGAAATCTTATTAAAAAGAATTCGGCCTTTTATTAGATTGAATGTGAAGCAGTTCTTTATTAATATTATTGTAACGATTAATTTTATACTCATTTGTCTTTCAGCTAAAGCAGAAACACATGAAGCATTTGAAAAACATTTTAATGAAGAATTAGCATTATACGGACCGGTGGCGATAATAAACTTGGTGGAACAGACGGGGAAAGAAAGTGTCATTTTCGATGCGTACACAGAGCATGTGATGATGTTCAATAACACTGACATAACCTACGTTACTTTTGATTTCCATGAATTCTGGTAATAAAGTTTTGCTCTTTTGTCCAATTCTACCGTGCCAAGGAGGAATGCCGTATGAGCATTTGAATGTGGCCAAATCTCGCTCAGTAAAAAACTTATTTTTAAGAATATTTACGATTATTTTTCCCCAGATTTTCCAGGCCTCTCCTCTTCTTTTCTTCTAGGATAGGGCTTAAGCCTTGTTTGTCCAGTCATAATTGGACGTATTTATACGAAAGGGAACTAAGCGCCAAATTTCCAAATTTCAGTTTTTAACGGATCTGGATTCTCCATGTAATAGGCTGCTCTCACACGTAAATATGCCCCCAAAATACTAATTTCATCCCCTGGAATCAGCCCCTGAAAAATCGCAAAACAGGGAATCAGCGATTACGAATAAAATCAAAAGGAACTATATGTAATTCCCTTTGATTTAATGCGCTAACCCGGATTCCGAATTAAATCAAAAGGNAAATCTTTTGGTTGAATATGAACGTTTCAAATCGTTCATTATTTTCTATTAATTTTGTTTAATTCCTAAACATTACGTTTTCCATGAAATAAAGGATTGTATGCTTTGAAATTACTTGAAGACTTTTTTAAAATTTTATTTTTCATGAGAAGCGATTAAAGAAAACAAATATGTATAGCCCATGGATGTGAAGGGAGATAGTTCCGAAAAAAATAGTGAACCAAACTTTAAATGGAACATGAGCGGAGACCTACAACTATACAATATTCATGAGACGGAGATATCCATTTTACTCCATCGATATTCTGATATGAAAATTTTTATGATTTTATCATGCCTTATATTTATTTTGTTCGAATCTAATTCTCTATAATTTTTACCTTTGTTTTCAGGATCCGCAGATGGACCCTTGGATTATTCCCATCATTCAAGGCTTCGTTCAGATCGAAACGGTGCATTTAGATTGTAAGAAAGAGGTTAGTACTTGTAAGTGAAAACCACTATGTATACAGGAGAAAATTTTGGAGAGAAACATGGATGAAATGAAATTGTGGTCATTCTAACAGCAGGTCAATATTATACATTGTATGATTTATTCTGTGCAGGAGAGAATGCCTTATTTTACTTATTTTTGATCATCTCTAGGGAGAGAGAACCCACCATTTGGATGGAGATTTTTAAGGCGGGTAAACTTCATCAGCTTTCGATAAAAATTTGGCACATGGGTTTTTAACAAAAATCTTCTTTAGCACCTCAATAAACAAGCCACGAGTGGTCTAGTTCATTTTTGTAATGATGACAGTCAACAGATACTTTTTCAAATCCAACTTCGTTGAATTTAGAACATGGTCGAGCAATACCGTTGACCTTATCAATAGGTTTTTTCAAACGGTAATTCAATGGTTAGCAGTTTTTTTTGGTATTGTTCTGGTATATTGCAGTAATATCAAGGAGGTTCTGGAAATTTAGTAGAATAATCATTAAAGCTAAAAACCACTCAAAACTTTTAAAAATAGATTTTGGGCCTACATGCATGCAGAAATAAATGAACATAGTAATTTCCTTCAAAATTTCTTTCTCCCATCACTATTTAAGTCTCTAAGTATTGAAACTTTTTCGTCTTCCTCAGGCATTTTCATTAACAATAATCAGTCGAAGGAGCAGATTCCGAGCGGGAACTCGTTACAAACGAAGGGGCCTTGACGAATCAGGGCGATGTGCTAATTATGTTGAAACGGAGCAGATTGTATGTTATAAGCACCATTGTGTTAGTTTTGTTCAAGTAAGAGGATCCGTACCTCTGTATTGGAGTCAACCCGGCTATAAATATAGACCTCCGCCTAGGTTACATAGAAGTAAGTAGAATTCATATTTGTCTTTGCTTCTCTCTGTAGTGGGTAAATATTGTTTGTTAAGGTGATTCGATTGACGCCATATTTTGTGTCAGAACGGCATGCAATATATCGCATCAATTGGTTCCATTTTTCAGCTACTTATTGTCATTTTTCTCCAATTTTGAGATCGCAATTCTGTTGTCAGGACACTAAAGCACTCACTTACCAATTTTAACAAAGAAATTCAACATAATAAAGGCGTGGTTTTTTTTTTAGAGAGAAAACATCGCATTCGATACTGATATCAAAACTGCACTCGAATGCGATATTTTCTCTCTAAAAAAACCACGCCTTTATTACGTTGAATTTCTTTGTTAAAATTGGTAAATGAGTGCTTTAGTCTCCTGACAACAGAATTGCGATCTCAAAATTGGAGGAATATTATGAGTAGCTGAAAAAATGGAACCAATTGATGCAATGTACATATCGCACGCCGTTCTGACACAAAATATGGCATCCATCGAATCACCTTAAATGGTCCTTGGCTCAATTCAAACTGGTGATAAAAATTAAAAACATTATATCTTCAACAGTTGATGATGTTGGAAATTTCTTATTATATTTTATTTTTTAAATGAAAGACCAATCACTGTACTCTCTTAAAAACGTCTATATTCTTTTTTATTCTTTTTTTCTCTAAATGAGGGACATCCTGCAAAGGTTTGCACACGTTTATCAGCTGTAGTACAGAAATGAATTATCAGCAGGAATTTTCATAATTGGATTTTTATATAAGATGCTGAGTCTTTCTCTGTACATCATTGACACGTGGTGAGCGATGATACAACTTTTCTTCATGAAAGGGAGCCTTACTGATGAGTTCCATTATCTTTTGCGAATCACTCTCTGGGGAAACTTAACTACCTGCCACAAAGAATAACTGCTGGCAAATGCAGTAAAGTTGAAAAAGCTAGCCATAAATTACGCAGACTGCGTGCCAAGGAGATGATTTCAGACTTGTATGATATGCGGAACGTAATTTTTGTAAAATTTTACTTGTAGAAAGTCTATTCCTTTGGCCGCATGTATCTTTTGTGTGCAACAGACCCATTGAGTTGTGAGACAGGATTTGAGTTTGTGAAATCTTATTAAAAAGAATTCGGCCTCTTATTAGATTGAATGTGAAGCAGTTCTTTATTAATGTTATTAATATTGTTTGTTTAATTTTAAACTCATTTGTTTTTCAGCTAAAGCAGAAACACATGAAGCATTTGAAAAACATTTTAATGAAGAATTAGCATTATACGGACCAGTGGCGATAATAAACTTGGTCGAACAGACGGGGAAAGAAAGTGTCATTTTCGATGCTTACACAGAACATGTGATAATGTTCAATAACACTGACATAACCTATGTTACTTTTGATTTCCATGAATTCTGGTAATAAAGTTTTGCTCTTTTGTTCACTCTACTTTTCCAAGGAGGAATGCCGTATGAGCATTTGAATGTGGCCAAATCTCCCTCAGTAAAAAACTTATTTTTAAGAATATTTAAGATTATTTTTCCCCAGACTTTCCAAAACTCCCCTCTTCTTTTCTTCTAAGATAGGGCTGAAGCCTTGTTTGTCCAGTCATAATTGCAATTGGCGCGTATGAAAGGGATAAAATTTGATGAAGCTGATAAAATTTTCAGAAACGATTCTTTTTGTTGCAAAAATTAAAACAGAAAAACTCACGAGTTTTCAAGAAAATTCGTCTTTTCTCAGTAATTTGGCAATTTTAAAATGTTCCTATGGCGTTTTTCCTTTGGCAGGTAGTATTAATGTTGAAATGAGTGCATTTCTGATCAATTTGAAGCATTTTGGAACCAGTTGATCCTCTTGAAATGTATATTACTTATCCAGCATACTTTAAAGAATTAGCTCATATTCCAGGTTCAGTGGTAAGAAAATGAGTGCCGTAAACCATGCTTTAATCGCATTGAATGCAAAATGTTAATTTTCTCCCCTCAAATCGGACTGATGAATTCTTCTCTTGTTTTTTGAAAAATTCATTTAGATTCATTTTTATAATTATTATTGGATTTTTGACAATTCTCAACTTCACCCTAAATTTTATATTCCGTCGGACAGATTTTTAACTTGACCATCATCTAATTTTGCAATGCGCCGTGATCAAAAATTTCAGGGCTGTTAAAATTTTTTAAATGCTACATTTAGCCGATAGTTCTTATTTTAAGCTGCCAAAACCTTATATTCTCGTACATGTCACGCTTGAAGTGGGAGAAGCGGAAAGTAAACTTTTGATTCTTTAATTTAATTTAATGAATCGTTTTGATTTATGGAATTAAAGAACTGCTCAATCTTTGTTTTAGCCGAGGCATGAAGTTTGAGAACGTGACCGTCTTAATTCATCATTTGGAAAAAGAAGGAGTCTTGAATCAGATTGGTTATTGTTGGAGGGATAAACATGGGCTGATAAAACCACAAACTGGAATCATAAGGACTAATTGTATCGATTGCCTAGATCGCACAAACATTGTTCAGGTATGTACAAGTTCGACCTAATTTTCAATTCAGATCTTACCTCCTTCCCCCTCCTATCCAAAAAATTAGTTTTGAAAACCTGTGGAGGAAAGAATTCCGAAAGTTTGAACTTTGAAGAGGATCGATCGAAAACTGAGAACTTTGTGATAACTTTAAAAGTAAACAGCATAAACGGATTGATTGAATTTATTTTTTTCCTGGACTTTGTTGTGCAGTATATGTACATATATATTTATTTATCTCTTGTTTTTTTTGGTTCGATTTAATTTTTAGACTGCCCTTGCGAAAGTTGTCATAACTTCTCAACTAACAAAGCTGGGCTTGGTGTCTCCTGAGGGTACATTTCCTGACAACTTGAAAACAATATTTCAGCTAATTTGGGCCAATAATGGAGATCACATCAGCAAACAATATGCAGGAACAAATGCTTTGAAGGTAAATTTTAAGGATGCATTATATTACAGATTTACATTTTATTCTTTGCCTATCTTTGCCTTTTTCATGGGCGCGTGTACTTGCATCAGAGAAGTCGACACAGAAGCCTTTTATATATATTTTTGTGTTTATGACTTCCTCTGAATTTTCTTCTGTAGAGCTGGAGGAAATTAAAATGTATGTAGTTATGAACACAACCATACTCAGGTGTAGCTCTTGAAAAATAGTTTTTCAGCCCTGATCTCAATATTTCAAGAATATTTTGCAAGATTAAGTACCAGGAAAATGAGACTAATTTTATAGTATTATTTTTATGAATATGAGGCCCCTATTTTTTGCTTTTTTTTTATAAAAAACTTAGTCTCTCAAGACTACCTGACTGGTTATAGGACATTTCTTCAACGATTCCTTATCCGCGTACCTGTTTCTTCTAGTAGTTTACGTCTCTGCATTTTTTCACCAGGGGAGTTTTAGTTGACTTGTAAATACAAACGACAATTGCTCACGACGTTTTTGGATGAAAATGTAAAACATCTTGGAAGAATAAGGGTTTGCTTTCTTTTTTGTTTGTTTGGTCCTATGGAGATAAATATATAATTGAGATTTTTGGTAAAAATGGGGGAGCGGCAATTCCATGACATGAGGGAAAATTCATTAAAACTCTCTACACCTCTTCGGTGTAATAGGACTTAATTATCTTTCAAGAAAATCCTATCTTGTTATACCTGAACCGGATAAATTTTCTGATTTGCCTCAGCTAAAGGCACATAGATTTTTTCTGTGTACGATAACTTAACGACGGCCCCGGCGTGCCGCAGCCCTTTGAGCTACCATTTTGCCTTGGAGGTGTTGGACAGTATCATACAAGATTGAAGCATCCCAATGTATCATGATTGATGGCATCTTTCAAAAGCACAAAGTTCCCTCTCAAAATAAATCGAGTGACAACGACAAACAGAGAGCGGTTGTCAAAAATCTCACTAAGTCCTAGTATCTGTATTCAATAACGTTTAGCATGATTTTTTAACTTCATTAGAGGAAAAATTGACTTGATTTAAGCAGAATCATGCTCAAATTTACCGCTGAGAAGATTTCCTTATGAATCATTAAAGAAAATAATGCTTGTGTAAAGAAGGAAAGATGCTTTTATAAAAAGGAAAGTCACTTACATCAGGTAGAAACCCGCTTTCAGCTTAATTAAAAATAAAACCTTCTTGACAGCATACTCAAGAAAATTTCTGCCTGAATCGAGTCACTTTTTTCTCTAATGAAATACCAAAATTTTGCTAAATGTTATTAAATACGGATGCTAGGACTTGGTAAGTTCTTTGACTACCGCTCTCTTTTTGTGCCGCAGTATCTTGATTTATTTTGTGAGGAAAGCTCCGTACTCCGAAAGGAAGCCTGTCATTCTTAATATGTTTGAGCTCCTTCAATTTTTTATGACGCTGTGCAACACCTCTGTTGAGAAATAGTTTCTCGAGGCGCCGCGGCAAGCTGCGACGCGGCCAGCGCGTAACACGCATTAGCGCCTACAAACCTAAGGGGATACTTCAAGCATTGTGCAATACGTGAAGTATCCTGTTAGGTCTGTAGGCGCCAGTGCGCGTGTCGCGCTGGCAGCACGCTGCTCCGCTCTGTTCGGCTCTAATATCAAACTCGCGGAGTCAGCGTTTTTCAACTCATGTTTTTGAAATGTTTGCACACTCTGCATGGATTATTCTCATTTAAATTGATGAGATTAAAAATATGTATTTAAGGAAAATATAATGTGTGTTTTGTAAATATTATGGAGATTCCATGTCAAATTTAATGATTTCCAAAAAGCTTCAATTTTTTCTGTTATGTTTTGTGCTTTTGTGCTACAGTGTGGTGTATGCACAACCAAACGCTCAAAATTAGACATATTTTATTCTAAAAAATTGACGCACAAATGGGTTAAACCCAATGATTGCGTGCCTCTTGGTTTTTTCTTCTTTTATTATTTTTTGTATGGTCTCTTTCAAACTTTCAACACAAGTACGGCTCATTGAGATTAATATTGATACCGTTGTTGGGAAAATGTTTTACAAATGTTTGCCACATTTTAAAAATGTAAATATTTTTAAAATGAAGTAATATTTTCATTTAAAAAAAAAAGTACATGTAAGGTATATTGAATGTCGGAAATTTTAAGGATAGAAATAAAACCAAATATTCACCAATGACAATTTGTAAAAATGAATCAACAGAAGAAAGTAACATTTCATTTAAAAAATGAGTTACCTTAACAACACCTTCTCTCTCAATTTTCTCATTCGATTTTGTCAATATAATTTTACATACGGACTAAAATACAATGCTTGGACCAAATCATTGTTGCGTATTCTATGCGCAGACATAAACTACTGAACAAAACAGTTGCGTGGACAAAAAATCATTGATGGAATGTCCTGAAACCAACTGAGTTTACTGTTCAAAGTTTGATGATCGCTTGATCTGTTTTGATAGATATGCATAGATATTTAGATTTCTAGATCTTCAGTAAACGAACCTACGTTACCGCCCGCAGCAGGCCAGTAGATGTTTGCTCCAACCTAAACACCCTGTCAGTCTATTTCATACTGTTTCTGACAGTCGTGAAATGTTTTATGGACGTAGCACATTTTGAGTAATGCTATGGTGCACTTGGAATTGTAACCTCTTTATTACAAAAAGATGTCCTCTTTGCTCACTAATTTTTTAGGCTATGTTCTTATTTACAAGAATCAGATTCTTTCATATGTTTTCCCGCCAAATTATATCTATTTTTATTCTTTCCATAGGGAGACTACACTCGCACTGGAGAGAGGAAATTTTCTGGTCTCATGAAAGACGGAATGAACTCAGCAAATCGGTGAGTAANTTTCAACACTTTCCCATAAATTTTACTTATCGTTCCTGTCACCGCTAACCCTCTGTAGTTCCCACAGTCATCCTTCCTTCCTTTTTTTTTTCCTTGGTTTTTTCTTCTTTTATTATTTTTTGTATGGTCTCTTTCAAACTTTCAACACAAGTACGGCTCATTGAGATTAATATTGATACCATTGTTGGGAAAATGTTTTACAAATGTCTGCCACGTTTTAAAAATGTAAATATTTTTAAAATGAAGTAATATTTTCATTTAAAAAAAAAAAGTACATGTAAGGTATATTGAATGTCGGAAATTTTAAGGATAGAAATAAAACCAAATATTCACCAATGACAATTTGTAAAAATGAATCAACAGAAGAAAATAACATTTCATTTAAAAAATGAGTTACCTTAACAACACCTTCTCTCTCAATTTTCTCATTCGATTTTGTCAATATAATTTTACATACGGACTAAAATATAATGCTTGGACCAAATCATTGTTGCGTTTTCTATGCGCAGACATAAACTACTGAACAAAACAGGTGCGTGGACAAAAAATCATTGATGGAATGTCCTGAAACCAACTGAGTTTACTGTTCAAAGTTTGATGATCGCTTGATCTGTTTTGATAGATATGCATAGATATTCAGATTTCTAGATCTTCAGTAAACGAACCTACTTTACCGCCCGCAGCAGGCCAGTAGATGTTTGCTCCAACCTAAACACCCTGTCAGTCTGTTTCATACTGTTTCTGACAGTCGTGAAATGTTTTATGGACGTAGCACATTTTGAGTAATGCTATGATGCACTTGGAATTGTAACCTCTTTATTACAAAAAGTTGTCCTCTTTGCTCACTAATTTTTTAGGCTATGTTCTTATCTACAAGAATCAGATTCTTTCATATGTTTTCCCGCCAAATTATATCTATTTTTATTCTTTCCATAGGGAGACTACACTCGCACTGGAGAGAGGAAATTTTCTGGTCTCATGAAAGACGGAATGAACTCAGCAAATCGGTGAGTAACTGACTGGATGTCTATTTTCATTTCCTATAAAAATTCTCCTGCAGTTCATTAAATCAAATGGACCTTGCACACTGCCATGGTCTTCTATAATTTTTGACTAGAAGTACCACCAACGGGTTCCGTAGATTTCACAGATTAGAGGAATTCATGGACAAAATCTCTTCCTGCTTTCTCTTAAAGCTTTTTGCCTCGGTGGTCAAAAGTGTCAGTAAGCAAAACCTGTTTACTACTCTGCCGCGCTTATTCTATATTTGCAAATTTCCTCTGATAAAATGTTTATTTTTGAGGAAAGCTATGAATATTTTCTCTTGAAATTTTAACTTTCAGATAACTTACATTGTATCTAATTGTGATTAAAATTCTCTGAAAAATTCAAAGAAAAATGTTCCCAGAAATCCTTGGAGATCAATATTTCATCGAAGGAAATTTCGCGACGTCTGTGGGCTCATACAGTGTTCTTCTTTAATTCATGCCCTGTCTAAAAGCCATACAGGTTATCTTTGGCAAGGCAGTGGATCTCAAAAACGATGCAAGGCGACTAACCTGTGTGACTTGTAGGGATTGTTCCTCTCCAGCAAGACCAATCACACAAAAAATCACTTCTATAATTGAATTGGCTCGTTTGAAAAAGTCCAATGTCCAATACAGTGTTTCAGAATTTGATTGGATGATTTGGTCGTAACTTGCAGACACAAGATGTTAAAGATGTGTTTAAGACGTTAGGAATATAGAACAATTTTAAAAAAAAAATCCTGTAAGCATAATTAAACGGTTTCTAAAGAGATATATCTTATTCTCAGTGTCGTGGGGCAAAAGAAACCACTGCAATTATGAAACCCTGTATTTGATAACGGACGTTTTTGCACAAGCCGATTCAATTGGCAGCATGACTGCAGTTTTGAAGACGTAGTGTTTAGTCCTCCAAATTTGTAACCCTGTAAGCAATTATTCGGGAAAGTTTAAGGATTTATTTGTCAAAATATCGCCAACTTTTCATGCTTTGTTTTATGAATTTTTCACGACCTTTTCATCTTACCCATAGCCTCTTTTATGGTTCTGGTACACAAAATTGATCATTGTTTGGGGGTTGCCCAGGGCCACTGTAGGACCGCCTATTTTTTTGTTGGATCTCAGTGTTATAAAAATCATTAGGAATGAAGCATGTGAAGTAGACATTTCTAGGAGCTGCACCTAAGCTGTAACAGTACTGCATGAGGCAGACCTAAGGCCGTTTAAACATTGCATTATGCATTATAGGTTCTGAAGGTTGCTGAAAATATTTTCTAAGAAGATTTTCGGACAAGAGAGCTCTAATTTTTCTTTTTCCTTTCATTCTTTAATATCTCGTTTGGCCATCTCTCTTCAACGCCCCCAAAACATGGAAAGTTAGGGGAAAGGGGAAGAAAATTTTGCAGGAGACCCTGAAGCTGAAATCTGTCTCTTTCTTGGTGCATCATGAAATATTTAAACAGCCTGTCAGGTTTGAACTTACATCAGATGAATTGACAGTTGTTTACTTTTGACCATCGTGCGCAGTTTGTTGTCCAATTTACTTGTCTGCACACGGCAGTGTAAATTGCCCTCGGTCAATCTTCAAATGCTATTGGACGGCAAAATAGAAAGTAAGCAAGTGCCAACTTATCCAACATGATTTTGAAGTAAACACTCTAAATTGAAATTTCAAGTTGTACTGTCATAAACAAGTTGCACCAGGTTCATTATCGAAATTTGTTCTGAACATCTTACATTGATCAAGTATACGTAGGTCTGTCGTTTCATGTTTATGCTTTATTTCTATGTTGAGCTTTTTACCAAAAAGAACGCACCAAGTTTTTCAGCAAGGATAAATGGGGAATTTTGCAACCTACAAGTCTGGCAAGTGTTCGCAAAAATGTTGCCACAATGTTATGTACATCAGTAGCTATGTGGCGGTGTTTTTGCGACTACTTTGTGAGACTTTTTGGGTGCATACAGCTTAGGTGTTTTTGGCAGGGCAATCGGAGTGCATTAAGCAGAAATACTCCAAGCCACATCCACTATTGCCAAATTTAATCAGGCAATTTAATTTTCTACATGGAAACGGTTGTGCAATTTTTTTTTTTGCGAATTTCAGTGAATTTTCTACATAGTGCAAAGCTAATCCTTAAAATTTTCAACGGAATCCCCACAAACCTTCTTGTGTAAAAAATTAAATTGCCCAGTTACATTTGGCAACAGCTGATGTGACTTTGCGTTTTTCTGCTAAACGCGGTCCAATTCTGGGTGCTTAATCCTGCATGCTTCCTTGAATCAATGACTTCCTAGCCATAGAATTAAGTAAACCTGGGCATTCATATAACATGCTCAATATTTGGAAGGGGCAATGGCAAGGGATTGTTGCAGGGTTGTAGTACAGTTTTTCTCAAGTGCAATTTTTATTCATTTATTTTTTTTTTTTTTCAATGTTTAATAAACAATGAAAAGAAATTATGCTAAAGGCTCGGAGGAAAAGCTAATCAAAAGCCAGCAGTGGAGTTGAAAGAATAAGGCAATGTCTGAAGTTGAGTTCAGCCAATTTGCAAACGCTTTTTCTCCCGCCTGCCCACGTCATCAAAGCCTGCCAAAAATATTATTTCAGACGGGTCCCATTTTTTGCATTTTTTAAAACAGAGTTTCTTTGCCATTTAGGGTGAAGAAAAATTTAAAAATTCCTAGAAATTTAATTCACTGTACTTTCAGAAAATGAATTTATAAATAAAAAATAAAAAAAAATATGAACAAGTATCCCTGATCCATTGAATCTTTTCGAACTCTGCTTGCTGCTTTTGAAAGGCTTTATGGCGAAGAGATCTCTGCAAGTTAGCACCTTCTGATCATCCTTTCTGAAAGTTAGTTTTAGTCTGTCTCAACGTCAACACTAATACTGAGTATTTTGTTATTCAGTTATTTCCTATCTCATTTCTCGGACGATTACGTTCAGGCCGCTTTGGATCTAATGCAAGGTGAACAAGTGTCACCTACAAAGTCGACTTCTCTTATCCCTTCTTTTGCGTTCCCCAACTTAGACCTAACCACCAGCTACCCTCTCTCCACTATCATAGATGAGTTCACACTTGCTTCTACTCTCATACAACTCTCTAGGTTAGTTTTTCATTCAGCAGTCATTACTCGTGTCGCATTTTGTATCAACTCTGAGATTTTTACTTGCCTGTCTCTCCTCCTCAAAATCATTTGTTCAGCTACCCTAAGGCATTATACATTTTTAAGAGTGAGGAAAAGAAAACTAATTTAATATTGATAGAATGTAGGAAAATTTCAATCACACAAAACTATTAGTACAGAAAAAATGAAAAATCATCAATTCGACGAGGTTTTTTGCATTAACTGTTTTTTTTTTTTTTTTTTTTTTTGCATGTCTTTCAGATTTTAGGTTAGATGATGGAAGTTTTAAAAAGAACATTTAGACACAGTTTAATTTAGTTTTAGTTTTGAGAAGAACACAAAGACAAATTGGATGCACAGTACACTGTACAGTTCGAAATTCAAGAGCCGAGTGAAAAGTTTGAATCGATGAGAGTTTCAAATCAGTGAAGTTTTTGAAGGAGGGGGGTTGATCCAAAAAAATTTGAATTAAAGAGTATTCAAGGAATTTCAAAGTAAAACACGACTGAATAACAGTATTTAAATTTTTTTAGTTACTTGTCAGCGGCTTTAAACTCCACAAAACCTTAATTTTTGGTAAAAATGTTTGCTTTCTCTTTAGAAATTACACCACCCATTCAGTTAATCAATACTTACTTTGGTAGCTTCTCCATGTTTGTCTACTAAAATTCTCAAAGTGAAGAGAGCCTTGTCCTAAAATTTTGAATTACCAAGGTAATTGGTCTACGCTGAACTCCAAAAAGTCGAAATTTGGAGAGGGGAATTATACATTGACTGTTTCCGAGAAAATGAGGTCCAGGGGACTGGCGTTTAAATAAACACTGACGAGAGTTTAAAATTATTGAAAGTTGACTGTAGCAGTGAAATTCAAAGTTTATTTAGATTTTTGGTCTAACTAAAGCAACACTCCGAATGCTGGTTTGTCTACAACAGGACTTGGGAATGAATCCTTTCAAAATCTTAGAGACAACCTCGAATAGACCCCCTTTTACAGGTGAAGGTATAATACTCGATGGTGCACCAAACCAACACTCTTATTGAAACTCACTGTATGTTTCCTTTTCCAATGATTTAAAATGGATTTTGCTCTGCTTTTTCTTCTTAAAATTGCATACCTTCTTGACTGTTTATTAATTGTTTTCTCAGCAGTGCTTCACTACTAAGTGTCAAATGAAATTTTTCGCTGCTGTTCTTTTAGCCACTACTGAAAAAATCCTCATCTCTCATTGTTGAAATGTTTGCCAAAAAAGCTCGCTCACACGTTTTTTGCATTTACCTCTCTGTTTATTCAGACCTCTACTTTTTGTATTGTTAGCCTCCCTCGAGTTTGTGTATCTTTTACTTTGCTTGTCCGTACTGTTGTCAAGTTTGTGCCTTGTTTTTTTAATTATGGCGTTTTTCTTCTTTTTTTCGCTGGTTGTTTATTACTTCTCTTTTAAAAAAGCAATCATTGTCGGAGTGCAAACTTTCATGTTTGGAAAAAAAGATAAATCTTGGTTTATTACTAAATTATAAAAATCAAATGAAAAACATTTTCCATACAAAGGAGACATTTTCGCAAGTTTCCTTTCCGAACATAACAAATCCTCTACTCGAGTTTGTATGTTGTCGACATCTTACCGTCTGTGCTTTGATAATTTTCTACATAACCCTTTGGACAAAGTGTTTCGACTAGCTTTTTTATTATTTAGCCCCTTTCAGTTGAACAGTTACCTTGTTGACATAACAAGAAAACTAACAATTTCATTGTATATTTTATAAAATTACAGTGTATTTTTATAACCGAATTTTGGCAAAAAAGAGTCAGCAGCTTTGCCGCATTTTACAGTGTGAAATACGCAAGTTGATGATTTTAGATTTTTTCCAATCCTGTAGGGGAGCGCTTCAATGATGCCGTAATGTATGGAAAAAATTGCAAATCTAATCTTAAACCTTCAAAAATGACAAAGGTTTCTCTTCGCTCTGCAAAATCGTCAGTTTGCAGGTAGGCGGTATTGATCGTTAGCCATGGATATGTTGAGTAACATTTCTGTGATTATGTGTAATAGTAAGGTTGGAAAGATACATAAAGATGTTGACAAAACATGAAGAATTGACAATTTCTCAACAGTTCTCTGGAAGTTATTTTCTTATTTCGGTACATCTGGAGAAATATTGATTTTTAATAGATATATTTTGTCTCTAATTCCAATTTCTTTGTTGTCCCTGATCTTGTTTTTCCCTAATGTTGTATTCATTTCTCTTGGCCTGTTTGTTCTAGGTATTATCTAAGTCGTTTCAAAGACACATGGAGACAAGCAACAATAGATATAATGCTCGGTAATCCAGTCGAAGAGCCTGTAACAGGAGCTAAAGAAGCCTCAGAGGACTTCGAAGATGAAGTTGATGGTGATGAATCTATGAACGCTGAGCATGTCAAATTACTAATAGAGGACTGTAAAAAATTGCTAATTAGTGATCAAAATCATGTGCGAGGAGCGTGGGGTCTCATAAATGCATCTGAGTAAGTTCCTTAAATTTCACACATCGCACTGCCAGGTATTTCGTAAAACATCAACTAGTTTTGTCTGAACTTTCTGCCCTCAGGTCAGATGCTTTTGTAATACGCAGTCTTCATAGTCTGTAAGCATTACCTTATCAAGTTAGAAGCTAGTAATATCCTATTGAGCATAGTGTATGAGAAAATGTTGTCACAACTTCGTCACAAGTTTTTTCTTAAAGTAATGTTAGAACAAAGTCTTAGCCACAAAAGCGGGCTGGATGGATTATAGTCCGGTCATACAGTGCATCTTTAAAATAATTAATAATTTAAAGATGGTCCAGAATAATGTCCAACATGTAATACGTTCTGAATCATCATTTTCGAACAATAGGAATTATAGATTAATAGCATTCTGCTAATCGGAGATAAAGATATAACTGTCTCCATGATGTTATTATTGTGACTGGTATTAATAGCCCCATTGAAACTCAAACCCCGTCAAACTTATCTTAGGACTTCTTTTCACTGTTCACTAATCTAAAGTGTACAGTGAAAATTTATTTCAGAATATGATGTTTATCCTCTCAATTTTTAAAAAGTAAACTGAAAATGTAGAAAGAAAATACCCATTCAAAATTAATTCAGGTAATGGAAAGGTAAATGATTTCACAAATATTTGTTTCAAAAATTAGAACTCAAAGTTGTTTTTTTATTTTTTTTATTGCATATTATTACAATCATCAATTTTGCAATTTCGTGTTTCAGAATTACTGATCTGAGTGAATCGGAGATGGATACAGTGTTAATATTAACGCAAGACTCCTATTACGTTGCCGAGTAAGTTTTTAACCAATTTTTCTCTACAAATAGAAAAAGAAGGTACTTACAGTTTACTTTAAAAATTATTTTCTATCAATTTTCATTGCAGAACTGATGTTAAAAAAATTATGAAAATTTGCATTTATTTCCATGGGCCAGACAAGCTCACAGATTTAGAAAATTAATCCATCTTAAAATTTGAGGAAACAATGGTAAAAGTCAGAACACTTTTCTTTATTTTGTTTACAGTCCTTGTGATAGCTTTGATAATTCAATTATGTGTCATGGTGTTTTGTCATGAATAGATAAAAATATGGAAAAATTTGCCAAAATTCAGTAAACAAAACCGCAGCGGTCTTTTCCTGTTATGTAATCATTACATAAAAATTGGATATCAGTGGAAAAATGAACATCTTGGTTTGCGATGTTGCAGAATTTTTGTCATTCTTTATTTTTTAAATAGGCAAGTACCCAACATCATCTTTTAAATATTTCCCTCAATTTTGTTCTCCGTGTGAAGAATAATCTATACTTTCAGGCAATAGCATTGATTTGTTCTCTTTTGATAAACAAAATGAGAGCAAAGATTTTGAAACACGGCAAACGAGGTACACATCCCTGCAGTTGTATCGTTAATATCTTTCACATTCTGCAGACTAATATTTAAATAAAAGAAAATCAAGAAAAATACCATATCAAAAAATCCATTTACCAAATGTATATTGAAATGAGCTGAGCGAAACTTACAGCCTAAAAAGCTCAAGTATACCAACTGACTGTCTTGTTTTACTTTTTTTTAGTTATGATGATCAAATGGACAAAATATCGAAGTATCAAAGAGTTCCTTTGGAGGACATAGTAGTAATCGAAACAGGGCCATTGTCTTTTGGTAACGCTGTTGCATCGGGCCCTCTCCAGTTGTTCAAGCAATCCACTCAAAAACAACCTGCCTCCGTGCATTGTTTAAGAATACAGTACAATATAGGAAACGGCCAAATGTACTATCATACTTTCCGCTCTACCAACATTAGATTTTTCAACAACGTCACCTCCATCATTAAGAGCCCAGAAGAGATGATTGGTAAGATGAGAACTTCTAATATTTTCAAATACAATAATTAGTATTCCTTTTATTAAAGAAATTCTGCTAATAGTTACGATATTTCAACCTCTTTAGTCTTGACAGCTTATCGGCAACCAAAGAAAACAAAGTTAACTAAGTTTGTAGTACGTTCTATTGAAGCATTGTATCTCATTGAATTAGTTTTAGGTTGGAAAAGCTGTACATTTAATCTCCTAATATTTATTAACCCTTTCATTACCACGCCCGAGTATACTCGGGCTACGAAAAGCACGCACCGTGCACCACGCCCGAGTATTCTTGTTTTCGAAAAGTCACTTATAGTCCACTATGAGACTTTTTATTTGGCATTAAAATCCGTAAATGGCAACGCATCAGTCTCGGACTCGGGTGACTGGACCGCTCGCTGGACACCCTCTTTTGTTCAGCGACCATTGGCCGGCAACCCGTCCACTGTGAGGGTAGGAACAATGGGCACCCTTCATCCCTTCCTAATGAGCCCTAGTACCTATACCGAAATTTGTTGCTCGCTGAAAAATGCATCTTTTGGCGTGAAAATTTTGTTCCAGCGTGAAATTATGATGAAAACGCACTAAAATTCCGTCCAAATATCTTAATTTTGAGCTGATGTACGGCACTTGCGTGTGACCGCGATTTGCCGCAAAATAACGTAAGTCAGCTCAAAATTACGATACTTGGAAGGAATTTTAGTGTGCGTTCATCATAATTTCACGCTGGAACAAAATTTTCACGCCAAAAGATGCATTTTTCAGCAAGAAAAAAATTTCGGTCCAGGTACTAGGGCTCATTAGGAAGGGATGAAGGGTGCCCATTGTTCCTACCCTCACAATGGACAAGTTGCTGGCCAATGGTCGCTGAACAAAAGAAGGTGTCCGGCGCGCGGTCCGGTCACCCGAGTGCGAGACTGACCCGTTGCCATTTATGGATTTTAATGCCGAATAAAAAGTTGCAGATTTCGTGAAACGGACTATAGTTCTTACGCTCTAGCGCCACCATCAGCTCTCCGAATTGTATTTGTGATGAGTGCTATCTAACTAGAAGGATATGAACTACAAATTGAGACCAATCTCGATAGAGTGCGCCAAAATCGGCCCTCACAAATCACACAGGAAGCGCATGGGGAATTCCAGCATTCCAGTTCTTCCTTCCCTATCCTGGTGTTAGGGTTTTGCGCACCGGACTCCTACTCCGGTAATGAAAGGGTTAAAATATCTTATATTGACTGCATAATGCAGAAATGAAATGCTCCCTTATTAATCTGAATATCACAATTTTACTGTCAGACATGAAATTATTTTAACTATGTATCTTTTTTTCCATGACCTTTATAACAAGTGTGATTTTAACCTATTTACATTGCACCCCTAAANAACCTACGAGCACGGAAACATATATCAACAACAGAGCGTTCAACCACAGACCACACAAACTCGCAGCTTTCAACTTCATGCTACACAGAACAAACAGCATTCCTTTGAACGAAACTGATTACAAAATAGAAATAGAGAAAATTTTAGAGATAGCAGAAAAGAATAGTTTTAACAAAGGAGAAATCAAGAAATTGAATGAAAAAGTGAAGCAGAGAACCCTAAATAAGGAAACATCAAAGCTAAATATAGAGAAAGCCGAGATGAGGTTTAAGAAATTCTCATACCATCCGAAATATGCCCCAGCTTTTCGTAGGATTTTTGAGAAGTTCAACATAAAACTAAGCTTCACCAATAGGTTCAATGTTGCCCAACAATTTAGCAGGAAGATTGAAAACAGAAGACCTGACAACGAGGAGAAAGGTATTTACCAAATTAACTGTACAGAATGCAATAAATTCTACATAGGACAGACCAGCCGTTCACTGAAAGTAAGAGCCCAAGAACATAAAAGATGTGTTAGAAATAGACAAACAGAGAAATCAGCAGTAGCTCTACACTACTGGGAAGAAGGACACGAAATATCGTTTGAACCGAAACTACTAAGAAAAGTCACTGAGAAAAATAAACTAGACATATGGGAAAGTATTTACATGTACCAAAATAAGAACAACATTTTTAATACGGATCTAACGGGAGTAAATAACAGACTGTTTACAACAATACACTCGAGATGTGACAACGATGGAGGGACGGGAAATAATCCGGGACCGAAATCAGCTGATTGGAATTGACCAGTCGCGCCGATGATGGAGGGCAGGTAACCTCCGAAACGCGTCCGCTTCCGTGAAAAGAAGATTTTATGCAAGTGAGTGGTTCAAAATTGTCTTAAAAGTTTTTTAAAAATTTTTTAGAATCTTAAATTTTACTCTTGTGTAGTGTTTTAAACTCCTAAAAAATCGTTTCATTATAGTTCTTACGCTCTAGCGCCACCATCAGCTCTCCGAATTTTATTTGTGATGAGTGCTATCTAACTAGAAGGATATGAACTACAAATTGAGACCAATCTTGATAGAGTGCGCCAAAATCGGCCCTCACAAATCACACAGGAAACGCATGGGGAATTCCAGCATTCCAGTTCTTCCTTCCCTATCCTGGTGTTAGGGTTTCGCGCACCGGACTCCTACTCCGGTAATGAAAGGGTTAAAATATCTAATATTGACTGCATAATGCAGAAATGAAATGCTCCCTTATTAATCTGAATATCACAATTTTACTGTCAGACATGAAATTATTTTAACTATGTATATTTTTTTCCATGACCTTTATAACAAGTGTGATTTTAACCTATTTACATTGCACCCCTAAAATTGCCCCCTTGAATGCCAAGAATTCTTAATACTTCGTGAAAAAGGTGTTTTTATTTAAATTATTGTAATGGAAATTTTTTGTATACATTGAAATTTTAAGCTTTACTATCAAGCTACCTGTGTGTTTAACCAACATTTGCACAGTCCCACGGTTGTTCTGATAGTATTCCGTCACAGGTTGTTACTTGGAATTTGGTGATGAATGACCATTTTAAGTCAATGTTTCTGCTCACGTCCTTTTGTTTCCACAGAGTCATTCAACATCATTGCAGACACAATAGTACAGACTGCAGCCGCAATTGGATTGGAAATACAGTGGAAAGAAGGTCCGCTAGACCCTGCTCCTCTAAGTAAAGAGTCTATGTCCAGGAATTCATCTGAAACGCAACTTTCGTCCCTCAAGAATGTCGGTAAGTAGAGATTCCATTTAAAGTACGTAATGACCAATCAAAGTGTCGAAAACTTTTTCAAGCTTTCTTAATCTCATTAGTTTCAATGTAATGTTTGCATACATGTATTTAAAGTTTTATCAGCACACATGTATGATGCTTCAAAGTGTCTCAAGTATAAGTGATGCAGATCACAATTGGCTATGGAAAAAGGACCTTACCACCTCTAAGAACTTTTTGAAGTAAGACAATTGATGCAAGAATGCTTGAGTTTAGCATGAGTGAAGAACTTGGTATGCAAAACAAGTGTATTTTTATCACTGTAAACAGTGCTGTTCTAAAAAGTCATTGTCTAGAAAAATGCTTTTCCCGAAGTTCGTTTCCACTGCTCTCATAACTATGAGTTCGCAAGCCTTGGATTTTTAAAAATCGGAACCCCAAGTTAGGCTAGGTTAGCGATAATTTATCCTTTAAATTCCATTTATTTATACTACCAGATAATTTTGCAAGAAATCTTGTAGGTTTTTTTTTCTTCGTTGGTTTTTTCGAAGAGCTTCTATGCGTAGCCACTCTCTCCAAAATGGTCTTTTCTTCCCCCTCTGAAAGCTTTTATTTCATATGATCATCAGGAGTATGAAATCCAGACAGATGGCTTTAATATAGGATTATCTCTTTAGTATTTGGTTCCTAAAATAATTAAATCAAATAGTACGAACCAAATATGTGAATGGTATTAATTTTGGTAGTTGAAAGATATACTTTTATATAATCCGGGATTATCTTGTTCTTTATACCCCTATTTTATGAAGTCTCTTTTATTACAGGTGCTAAAGCATTAACAAGTATGTCACAAGGATTTAGCAAACTGAATAGGTTAGGTCAGAGTTTCAAGTCTCGAACGAAACCCAAAGTAGAGGTAAGTCAAGAATATTTTTCACTCAGTCTCAGCTCTTTTTTAATCATCCTTCTCTCTTTAAGTGAAGCATTGAAGCATTTATTTTACTTTTTTCATCATTACTTTTATATTTATAATTTTTTAAACAATCAGTTTTATAAATTATATTCATTTATTTATTGTTTTTGTAACATTAAATTAGAAATAAATAGTAGCAACATCAGTAATCAATCTTCTAAAGCAAAATTGAAACAATTCGTGAAAGAAAGAAAATGATTAAATTTCAGCATTGCAATATTTCTGTCCGTAAATTGTGTATCAACTCAGACATTTTTGGCATTTCTAACCGAATATTCTCTCAGTGCTACACAAAAATTCGCAAAATTTTCGACAGAATTAGCAAGATCATATTCTTGTAAAAAATTGAGTTGCATGAGTCAATCAGATACATTTATGCTATAATGAACTATGCAAAAAGCAATACAATCAAAAGGAATTGTGTCGCACGCAAATAGTATGCACATGGTCCCTCTTGCTTTAATTCATTTTTACCTCACTCCTCTTATCATGCAATTTTGCATCCTTAGAACGGTGTTACGTTTCTTTGTTCGGAAAAAAATAAATTATTGTATAGGTATTATTGCTCAGAAAGTAACCAAATTTTTAAAAAGTTTAAAAACATGGAAATAACGGAATGTTATCGACCAGGGTCTCTGGGTCAACAAATCTTTGCCATTTACTATTTGAGACAGTTATTCAAAGAGTCAAAAATGAATTGCGTCATGGAAATGTAATACAAATCCAAATTTTAATTTTATAAATAGAAAATAATTAATTTTATTGAAAGCAAAATTGACTTCAGTCAAAGCGAAATTGAATTTTATTGAAGGAAAAAAAAATTGTTGTCCGATTCATATTGAAATGACTTGTGTGTAGCTCCAAAATAAGGTTTCTCTGAAATCATTTTTCCTCTCTAAACTTTTTTTGCCTCTTCAAATTTCAGATGTCTCCCTCGAAATTGAGTAATACTGCCGAAAGTGCTGAGATATCTAGCGAAGAGGAGGAACTAGCATCAGACGCAAAACTGGAGGCAGTTTCTAATATCGGGCGTTCTTCTGGAGGAAAGGAACCCCTTCATCGTGTAGACTTTTACCTGCCAAGTGTAGGACTTTTGATAAGTTGTCAGCAAATCCATTTCATTCAGCCAAAAGAGTCCTCGGTCTCAGAATCTGTGGTCACTGTTGGTCTGTCAAAAGTTTGTGATCAGAACAAAGTACACGGCAAGTACCCATTTTTACATTCCCGCACGGACTTAGTTTTGAATGTTGGTCCGGCGCATTCCAGTGTCTCAAAAGCCCCCGATATTGTGATATCAAGCACCTGTGATAAATCAGACCTCGTTGATTCATCATACATGAACAGTCTATTCTCTCGTTCCTCCGAGGTCTTATCGTTAAATCAAGGAACATCAGTGTCTTCAAGCTCGGTATTGTCGAAGAAAGACTCTTCTATTGTGCGAAGCAGCTCTGAAAAAGACTTGGTCATGAACATCAAACAGTCCCATTCCGAGACAACATTGCGTAACTTGAAGTTCAGTTTCAGCTCAGTTGCATCCACAGCTATCTCCATTCCTTCGTCTCCATTTTCAAGGTTCGCTCGAGGTGTTCAAAGCCTGAGCTCGAATTTGGACCCACGAAAATTGAAAGCCTCGACGCAAGAAAAAGTCAGTCCGGTACTCTCTCCCGATGAAGTTGTTCAGAATCAGGTCCTTATAGAGAAATGGGTGCGACACAATTGCCGAAGCAAACTTATTGCCTTGTAAATTTGATGTTCAGTGAGTAAATGTGATTCTTACGTGCTTTTAGTACTTAGACCGTAGAACTTTCCTGCCGCTTAATAGTTGCCGTAAAGGTTTGCAAAAACGTTGTTGCAACGTTTTTGTTGTCTCTGCAACCTTTTCGGGGAACCATTGAGGACTGGATTAATTTTCTTGTGAAATGTAAAATTTAGAGTTCCTGAAAATGGTGTTGTTTTCATATACCTAATCTAATCTTTACAAGCATCTATCGATCTGTCAGATTAGTGGCAAGTGAAGCTTCCGAATGAGAAAGCTCTCTAATAAAGAAATTCAGTCAAATGTTATACAATTCTGTAACTACATGCAAACGTGACATTCACATGAAATTGGAAAGTTTTTCGAGGTGTGTGATATCCCTTTCTTTAGATTGAAAAAAGTGCAATGGTGTTTTTGCAACATTGGGTATCCCAGGACCTTAATTGTCCGAAATAGGTGACTAATAAATTGAAAACAGCCAATCAGTTGTAACTTGAAATTAATCCAAAGGTAGGTTACGACTCTCCGATGAAGGAAGTTTGAAACCATAAATCTTAGAATCTATTTTTTTAAACCTGGTTAGTTTCGTTCCTTTTTTGTCTGACTCCCATATCCATGTCATTTTTTTAATGAGCTGGATTAATTTTTGTTTCATTTGTAAATTTTTATCGTAGATCATCACGATCTATCATTGAATCCTGCCAAAGCAGCTGTAATCCGGTTTTTGCATTTAATTGTGTGTTTTCAATCCTACAGCGAGCATGAAATGCCATTCTATTTGTTCGTGGAGGAAAAATAATCAAGCTTAAATTTGGATTTTTTTTTTTTTTTTTTTTTTTTTTTTTTTTTTTTTTTTTTTTTTGCGACTATCCAAAAGAACAAAGGACCTTAGTTGAAAGAGGCAAAATTTTTTGTTCAGTGATTTTTGTAGGGTCAAAAAATTCGATCTCTGAAATTTTGTCCTGAAACTGTCTTTAATCTGCGTAAAATCATTTGATGTAAATGGTTTACTACAGCTCCCAAAGGTGTAAAATTGTATCACATTCCAGCAATTTTATGCCCTGAACGTGGAAAGTTAGAATTTAAAATATATTTTGCTCTAAAATTTGTTTTTTGAATTAGAAACGTCAAACCACCTTAACTTGGTTTTGTTTTAAATGGAGTCCTTTTTGCTCTAATATCCATAACTTGAATTTTAGTATTGGTGGACTAAATTTACTCTCCTTTAGATGGTCCAATATTCATTCTCATTTTTTTTTTAATTTAGAGGGTTTATCGTTTCCTCACCTTATCAAACCATAATTTACGGTTAGAATTTTTTGGTTGTTAATGCACTTGTGAGGAGCTGTTGTAGATGTATTGTGCGTTATGGAAAAACTTGAAATGGAAATTTTACCCCCTTTTTAAGGAAGGGGATGGGTCATTTTCATTCTGACCTGGGATCATCTCCTTTTTGTCTGCTGTCAGATTTAGTTGTTTTATTTTTTTTCTTGCTTCAAATCTGTGTGTTTCCTCGCAATGTTTTGATTTTCCTCTCGTTGAAATAATATCATTATTTTTTCTGATAGCTGAGATTTTTGGAATACATTATTCAACTAAGTGGTCACTCACATGACATGCTTGAAATATCGTTTCGTATCCCTTGTAGGTAACATCAGTGACTTTTATCCTCTGGTTATTATAAAATCCAAGATGCTGCATGAATCGTCAGTATCAGGGGAAGATGGGGGGAGGTCCAAATCAAGTCTTGTCATTAGCTCTCATAAAACTGCGTTTTGTTTTTGGTAAATTTCACTGCTGTCTTGCTGGTCTAATCAAAGTTATTGGAGCGTCCATTGATTAAAACCATTGTTTTGTACGACAGTTTTTTAAGAAACTCAATTTCTGAAGTTAGTGCATGTAATAGCAGAGCTGCCTAATAGAAGAAAAAATCTTGAAAAACATATTATTTATTCTCGTCAAACACTGTTTGCTGTTGTTCCAAAGAGACGATATTTTTGTATCCAAATTTTACTCTAGTTTACAAAAGCTTGCATTTATTCTGAATTCCAACCACAAATATTTGAATCGCTGAAGTCAGCTCCTTAGATCTGATTTCTCTGTTTACTTTTTAAGAGAGTTCTCCAAGAATGGTGTAACTTTTTTTGCCTGTTCAAAAGTTATTAAATCGTCAACAAATTGAAGGTGACACTTCTATTCATATATTTACACAAAAATTTGATAGATAAAATGTAATTTCTATCACACTATCCCCTCCACAATAATTTTATGAAAAAAAATCATATTCCTGTCCTCACAGTCTACTATGCGTTACCTTGTAGAGTTTTTATTTAGAGTGAATATTTTTTTCTCCATGCTTATTTATTTCTTCGTACATTAAAGTTACTTTCACAATGCTCTCTGGCACTGTGCAATGTCCAACCATCACAGTCCCTAAACCTCCCAAAGCCGCACTCCCTGAAAATTGTTGAAAAATGTCTTATTCTAATGTATTTGTGATTGAAAAATTATACGAAAGATCAAATAATGACTTCCTTCTTGTTATAATGACTATTACAACTGCCAAATTTGCACTACTATTTACTATTACTTTCCTGGTTAATTAAACTTCAGACGTCAAAATAGATAAATCATATTATGTATTCTCACAATGGGTCAGTTGTGTTAGTCATAGAATTGTGCTCCACATAATTATTAAAACTTATAGAGCAGAGAAAGGCAATAACATTAGTGAGAATGCCACTATTCCAGCTAACAGAGATCATCATACGTATAAAACGTGAATGGTTATTATCATTCTTAAGGTCTGTGTACTCTTGATTTCTCTGACTGAATTAATATTAAGAGTTAGGCACTTGTCAAAACAAGGCATTCAATTTTATCAATGATGTACAGATAGATCAATGTGAATCTGTGCTTCACTGATCATTACGTTCAAGGTGGAAGGAACAATTGTATACTTCGATGCCAAAAATGTTGTGTTGTTCCAAGGGTAATTCCTCCATTCATATTGAATATTGAAATGAGTGTTTGGAAAATTTTCTCACGTTTGCATGTGCAGAGGGTTCAACCATCAAAAGACAATTCTCTAACTAATCCAACAAGCCATTACAGTCTATTAAGCACAAAACTTTCAAGGCCCCTCCTGTTTATCAGTGCAACGTCTGGTACATGTATCTTCTGCTTGATAAACTGATTAGACTAACTGATCTGATGAACCGCAAATCAATCATACTTTCCTGTGCAAATATTTCTATTTTTCCCTCCTTTTTTTTCTAAAATCAATGAAAGCAACGAAAGCATCAAAGTTGAAACCATCGAAAAAGTAACAATTGCTCAGAGCTCATTTGTTTTCCCATACAAATTTTTGTAAGAACATTCATTTTTAAATCTTAGTGTTTGTTTTTTTTTTTTTTTTTTTTTTTTTGAGAAATTTTTTTATCTCCGAGTAGACCTCTTTTGCCAATTCAATCTCAATTTTTTAATCAAGGAATCAGGAGCTTTGCATGTTTAAAGAAGTTTCAATGAGATTTTTCATTTCGAAAATTCTACTAACTAGAGATTTGACAAGAAACAAATTTTACCCATCGGATGTTTCTAGTCTTTCTTTCTTAACTCTTTGCTCCCTACAAGTGTTTCAAGCCCACGTGAGCAGCCAAACATGGATCGCACCTCTCACCCCTTTTCTTATGTAACTTTATTTGTTTCCTCTCATGTATTTATTCTAAAAATCTAGAATTTCTGTACAAATGATAAACTAAATCATAAAAATTGGATCAGTGCAGCTTTTGTCAGTTTTGGTATTGCAACTTTTATCATTACTTTGTAAGCCAAATCTCCATTATTTTTTATCCAGTTTTAAATCTTCTTGTCAATTGTATTTAGTTTGATGATGAATGAAATTTACCTTTGGCGGAAAGAGATATGGGTCTATCTATCTATAATATTGGTCAGTCCTCTTAAGATAAAAATGCAATTAATGTACAAATGAAGACTTATCAACAGTAGCAGGCTGATTGTAAGGTGCTGAAAAGTCGTGAATTGAGTTTGACATGGCATTTCATTCCGAGCATTAGGCAACATGTTCAAGGCCACTAACATAAGAGTAGTAAGTATAACGTTCGAAAAATAGCGTTAGTAGTATGTTCTCCCGCCGCTGTCAGAAATAAAATCTAAATTGACTTTTAGCCCCTAGCCCATCATCAATGATGATAAGTCTTCGTGTATTTGTAAAAAATTTGGAACATGAATATTCGTCCACGATTTCCGCAAAATCTTTATTTTATCTCATCTATCAAAGTTATATCAGATGCATTTACTTTCAGTACAACTCTTTTTCGTATCATTCCTGATGAACTTCTAGTGTATTACCTGAAGGAAATACACTATTTTTTACCTATTTTTCCGTCTCCATTTAATTCATTGTCCGAAAACTTTTGGATCCGATAAAGCTCTCTTGAAGGTGAAGAATCATCTTTTGACATGTATACGTATGTACCCTCATTTGTATCTTCGTGGGTTTTTTTCCGGTAAATTACTTAACTCTTTTTGAAACTATAATTGTTACTTGAAGCGATATGCAACCGGTGATTTTTTAGATCATTTGACTTGTTTTGTTCTCCCAAACATTATTTTTACACAATTTAGTCTGATTTTCTTAGTTATCGTTATAGTTGTTCCAATAACTCTGTATAAAAATACATATCATTGGAACATAGAAATTTTATATGTAATTTTGTATCATTCTATACTCGCGCTTGTACAATTTTGTTTGCTCCGCATTTTCATGCAGTCTATTAACTGTAGCTTTATGCTATTGTTTAGTCTGTTTTAGTTACCCTTTGAAATAATGTATCTTCTCTTATTATTTTCTTTAGCTGGCTAGTTTTGGTGCTCTCTGGGGCTTAGCCTTGATAGCTGTAGTTGAATAAGTATTATTTATTCTAAAAAAGAGTCGCCAATCGCTATCACACAATATTGCACAAGATTTTATGACCTTCTTATCTTTTTACATATAAATCAATAGTTTAAAAGAAAGTCCTCTGCAAGTATTAGGGGATGAGGAAAACTGCATCAAATTATTATATGTGTTTCATTATAGTTTTCCGTCACTCTTTGTAGGCAAGACCTGGGTAGTTATATCAGAAAAACAAGTGCTTTGTAGTTTTGTAACTTCTTCTGTTGTTATTGTTGTTCTTTAATGTGCTTTTAGACTAATATTTAATTTTGGTAATTGGCACTTCTGAACCGTAACTTTGATCAAACTTTAAAGCAAATTATAGTTTACATTTAGTCCAAATCCATTCTCATAGCTTATTGAAAAATTAATATACTGTGCATTATGTTGTCCTTTTGATTTTATTTGTTTTTTATTTTCTACACCATTCAAAAATGTGATCATAATCATCCCTAAACAATTTGTTCTTATATTCTTTTCCAACCTATACGCTGGACTGAGATGTTTTCTTGTACTTATTATGGGGTGATGAAGTTATTTTCATGTTAAGTTGGGAGTAGCACTTAAAATAAAATGACTAGTAAGGCAACAACAGGTTAAATTTTATGCTTAGGATCAGATCGGAAATTTAAGGCATATCCTTGGCTATGATTTCCTTGGCTTCAAAATCCCGCAAACGTCCTATTTTAAATGGTTTCATGGAGAAAATGTCGATTTTTCCTATGGTAGATCTAGATTAGCACATGGATTTTCAAGATAGACAATTTTGAGGATTATCACAACTTATGTTAGTTTGGAGAAG